CCATGTATTAAACACATTAAACATGTATTAATGTATTTAACATGTATTATAGTTTAAACATATTAAACTGTAACAAAATATATTAAACATTAGAAGGGCAAGTCCTAAGTTCTTTTTGTTTCACTGTGTTGCTGTTTGGGAAGGGAAAACTAATAAATTATGGCTGACTCAATCTGATGCATTGAAAAGACGCTCAAGTTAAATCAAGAAGTGCTACGGACGAGCCTTTTATGAGACTTATGTAGCTTAATGTTATAATGCCCTTTGTCATTTTATTTGTATTAAATAAAAAAATGTCATTGAATTGAAAACTTAAGTTGATTTTGTCCATCCAGATAACCACAACGGATGGACAGAACCTCCAAGTAACGACTAAGGATGGACAAATCATCCCTGTGCAAATAACTACTTCGGACGGACAACCACTGAGCACCGAACTGTCGTCTGCTAATCTTGAATTACCTGTCAACACGATTGTAGGACACGACATAGCAGACGAAACAATCTCTACATTAGAGTTCACATCAGAAGACGGACAGAACTTTAAAATAATCCCCCCTTATATTACTGGTAGCACATTAGACACGGAGTATTTAAATATTGCGTGAAACGGTCCTCAGTAAACGACGTAGGATTTAGTTTTTCGTCAGCTGAAAATATAAATAATAAGTCTATATTTTCACTGTTTTAAGTACCATGTTACCTGTACAAATAGGATGTAAACAAGTTTTACTACTTGAGACTAGGAATGGATTATGTGTTTAATCAGTGATAGTGAGCCTTAAAGCATGATTTTGTAAAGTGTTTAGGGTCTATAGCCGTCATTTAATTGAAGTATATTTTTAGTTTTACTAAAGTAATTTATTTTACAGTCAATAATTTGGTCGCATTTTTTATGAAAAGTTCACTTTATGACACAAATACGCATAAAAACACAGGAATCACAAACACAACTTTAACATTCTTAAGGTCAAGAGGTTTGAGTAGTTATTATAAAATTGTTTTTTGAATAATTCTGTAATAACTCTACCCACAAAAACCAACAAATCATAAACTCTACAGGTCAACAGGGAGCTAATTTAATTTTTTTTATGTATGAAATACATAAATAATGATTCATTTTGTTTGTAATTATGATTACAAATGAGTAAAGAGATTCATTCTTAAATGTTTTCAAATAATGTAATCTTATCTCAGATAAAAACACTTATGTTAAAATTATGTAAGGGTCAGTCATGGAAATTAATGACAAATTTTCTGTGGACACCCTGTTTTATTTTTTTCCTCTCTATCTGGATTTGTTATTGTTCAGATCATATCTGGTACCCATTATTCTAGAAAATCCACACTCTACTGTAATAATAGTATTGTAAAAAAAAACTTGATACTAATTCATAATGCAAGATAGTGGTTACCTTCAAAATGTGATATCATAGAATTGAATGTAAGTTTCACATACTTATTTCAAATCTAGCATTAAAAATAACCAACTTCCTGCTAAATGCCCTTCTATTGTGTCCACTGTATTTAGAAAATATATTAAATCAAACTTGTATCTTGCTGATCAAGTTTAGGAGTGAAAATTTAAAAACGTACGTTTTCAGGAAAAGCACTTTTCAAATTTTTCCCCCTTTTTTCACAACTTTTATTATTTTTTTTATTTCATTAACATTTGAAATTTCATAAAATGTCCATGGTAACGCAATATCTTTGGTAGTTTTTTTTAAAAGAGCATCTTTAGTGGAAAAACACAAAATCCTGTCAATACCATAACGGACATTTAAATGAATATTACAAATAGTTAATATTATTTTTATAACTATGTTTTGCTATAAACTAATTTACTTTTGTGACCATTATACAATAAAAAGGTCACTGAGCTTTTGGTATATTTGGTCTTTCTAGAAAAAAATAAAAAACTCAAAAAATTGAAAAAAGCCAATAAAATCTGTTTAAGTTTGTATAACTCCGAAAAAACTTACCTTAGACCCGAAAAATCGTTATGTTTGTATAGAGGTGTGCTTCTTTTGTGCATAAAACATTGAAATATGACGATATTTTAATTTTTGAAATTTGTATGATAGAAATCATAAACGTGATGGTCAGGGATAAGCGGTACGGTCGTGAATTGTCTGGAATAATCTAAATCTTTCTAAACAATCCTTCAATTATACTGTTAGTTATAATAAAAATATGTGTTCCAATTAAACTAAACTGTTCAATTTACAATTATATTAAAGTTATTGTCACGACCAAACACACTATAATCCATAAGGCTGGATTGGTCGTGAAAAAACCTGCGATGGTCGTGAAAATTTGGTCGTGAAATTACGTGTTATTTGGCTCTGTTCTGGCAGTAGCCCTGCACCTCATGTTCGAGGATACAAAGTGGACTGCTAGGTTAATCTAGCAATTGAAATATCTTATAAACAAAAATTAACACCATGTCTACTTCATCGAATGACTACGTACGGTCATGGACACACCAAAATTACAAAAAACACAATCATTCCTTTATTAATCTTGTAATTCCTCCTTTCAACTCGAAACGACCGGCACTACAATTCGACGTACACCCCGAACTAGTCTCTAAAACCAACTGACTCCATCGACGCCAGGCTTGCCACTGTCGTGCTCCAAATTTGAAAATTTTTCCCAAATGGTTGTGACGCCAAATCGAGGTACAGACTTATTTTGTCATGGTAGTCAGTTTGCAATGACAATAAAATTATAATATGCTCCTTTTTTTGTAAGTTTAATAACCATTGATGACATAAATATATGGCTTTATATATTTCGGCATGAATAATTAGTCTAAAAACAGCGTGAAAGTTGGAAAATGTACCCTAGGGACACGTCATGGTCGTGAATTTCGAGACTTTAAAAATACGAAAAAAATACCTAGAACCTATTTAAAACCAAATAAATGTGTGAAACATGTTGCCCCCGTCCCAAAAAATATTAAAACACACAATAATAAACTACAAATCCAGTATCTACGAAGTAAAAGGCCAGGGACATGAAAACGTACGTTTTTAAATTTTCACTCTTAGATTGAAATATCTCTCTCTTGTATCCATAAATAATTGTTTTTTTGTTCCTTTTATTTAACAAAAATGTATTTTATGTGGTATCAGACCTAACTCATGGTACATTTACTGAGGAATGATTTTTTTATGTACATAATTATAGATACATGATATGTGCGTGTTTCAAATAATTTGTTATGGAGCTTTCATTGGACAAGTTTTATTGAAATGTAGTTTTATTTTTTATTCTTTAAAGGAATAGTCATAAGTATTTGAATATTGATTGAATTTAAAGAGATTGTACGTACTATTTAAGTTGAAGGGCAAGTATTATTTTTTATTTACAAGTTTAGACCTACAGATCTACATGTACAATTCAAACTGAATACTTTTATAAGACTTAAAAATTTAATTTTTATTTTGATAGAGCAGGGAGTCCTCACTAGAATATCTCAGAAATTAAATTGGTTTGTATCAAATTTTCCTCGGGCCACAAGCAGTGGCGGCTCATGATTGCTTTTGGTGGGAGGGGGGGTCAGTGGAAAGGGTGATCCGGTGGGATCGTAGTCCTAGCAAATATTATTTGCCAAATACTATAAAGGATTTGAAATATAATTTGTTTTTTATACAATATATTATGCATAATGTAGTTGTAATATGTATATAAATGCTGAATTTGAACTCGTGTTACTTTGTTACCTGTTAGCCTACTCAGACTATAATATAATTTAACCGTAAAAAATTGTATTGTGATAAACGGTTCAGCAAATTTATTTGTAGTTTCAATTTTACCTCAACTGTTGCCTATTTATCTTTCTATTCTGAGCTTTTAGGTCCATCAGATTGGTGCAAAATTGTTGTTTTCTGTAAGAGTAAAAATTTGTATTTTGTATTTAATAAATTAAATTGACTGCAATAAAATCCAATGGAACCAACAGTTAGCCTTACTTAAAACACAAGTTTGCAAACCAAATGGAAAGAACGCTAGGGAAATTAGCAACACAAAAACACTGTAGTTGCTTTTTCACACTTCCATCTCTAATTATGTTTCATTTTACAGGAGTTTTTAAAATAAACATTGTGTGGACTGAAGAAATCAATCTTAATCTGATACACATGGTACAGTAGTCGCAGTTAGTCTGAGCGCGCGGACCCTTGTGTACTAACCGTCCCCCACGCCAAAGCCAGGAAGACAGCGCTGAGGCGCTGATCAACCCCAGAGAGCCATGAGCAATAAACAACATCCCCCCCTACACCCCCGCCATAGCGCGGCCGCGCGCCTAGACTAGCTGCGACTACTGTAGTTCTCGTTCAAGGAACATGATTGTATGAACTTTTTCCTTTTTCTTCCTGAACAGAGCAGGCCTATATGGAGTAAGCATCCTTTTGTCAAAATGTTTGTGTTCTTGAGTTTTCAGTGGAAATATTTGTTTTTGAACCCTTTTGCCTTAAACCCTAAATTGGGCTTTTGGAACTGATCCATTGGTGTGTGTGTGGTAAATCTTATTACCTTCTCCAAGTACCCTCGGAAAATTAAATTTTCCTTTTTCAAAATGTAGAAAATAACGCCTTGATTCTAAAATTATAGTTTTTTTCCCCCACAAATCTTCGGAAAAGTGGAAAAACAGAAAAAATATTTGCTACGCCAAAATTGGTCATGTACTCAAATTAACCGGTAGAGCAAGCTGAACAAGAATAGGCAAGAACTTTTAAGATTCGATTTAATGTCAAGGTAATGGGACAAATCTTGTGTCTGTTTTTTAGATAGATAACCCTATCTTAAGGTGGCTATGCGAATACCATTAGGTTTAAGTAATTGTAAAGGTGGGGACACATTCTTTAACAAAAGTGTTTTTGTTACCCAGAAAATGCTTTCTTCTAACAGCACCAGTAACTTAGTCAGTGGAAAACTAATTTTGAAGGATGTTTGTGTGGTAAAAATTTAAAGACAAAATAAGTTTACATCACATTTTTATGGACGGAATGATGTTTACATTAAAGCCTTGAGTGCTAATCCTAAAACTAAACGATATAATAATCTTAAATAATAAATTAATAAATAGCAACAAGTTAATTGACAAAAACTTGCTGTGTTACACTTCTGCCTAAACATAATTAGTCATATCACAGAAACTATAATACCATTAATTTCCCTTAAAGACACTTCACCGAGGGTACCTTATGTGAAATACATAACAAAAGTAAAACAATATTTATATGTTCTCAAATGAAAAATTGTCTAAAAAGTCAGTAGAAAAATTATGAGATCTTTTTAAATAACAAGATACTAAGGTGTGGCGTTACTAACCTAAAATTAATCCTGAATCATTTAAAAAAATACTTAAAGATATTTTTGTGCAAGTTTTGGAGGTTATGTCATATCGACAATTACTTCTTCTTCCACTTCCTGCCCATCTTCTTCTTCTTTTTCTTTGCCTTGAGTCTGGGTAGCTAGACCAAGTCTTTCAAGAATATCTAGACAAAAAGTTGCACATAGAGTAAAGACTAGCAGTACAGTAGCTAGTAGTGTTGTATTATATGTAAGGCAACGATTTTACTTTAATATATGACTGGCTGGACATTTTCAACTAAATGTTGTAAGAACTGTAGTACTTATGAAATATATATATTTTTAAGTAATTTGCTGTGCTAATTAGAAGTATACCATGGTTAAACTATCATGGTTTTAAAGACCTTAATGGTTTCATTTTCACTAAACTTCCATCGGTTCCGCACCCTCTTTGTCCAGCAAGTTTTTAATTGTGACCACACTGATTTTATATTTTTTTGAAGTGTTCTGTGTTTTGTACAATGCACTGTGTTGAAGAGGATTCAGCTCGTCTGTAAATTTGAAAATAATACCATCAAGGACTTGGAAACCATGGTAAATTAACTTGGTCCAAAAAACCACTTGGCTATAAACAATCAAACTTAACCTATTATTTCTATAATATATCATTGTGATTCAGAGGCTATGCCACAACAGAAGATATTTTCTGATGACTATGCAGAAAAAAACCCCACTTTCAGCAATTTAACTGAACAGTAAAGGGCCTACTGCACATAGCAAGTAATACCTACTAATACTTTGCAATACAAATAAAATTTGTTACCCACCTCTAGGCACATACAGTGCCAGATTGTGATGAGGCTGAGCGCTGCGTAGCTGATGAGCCCATTGTGCAGCAGACTTCCAGTCTCCAGCTTTAGTGGCATGTTGTATCATCAGACTGTACACATCCCCTGTCCTGACCAGGTCTGATGTAGTGTTGAGTAGCAGTTGACACTGTACCAGTCCTGCTTGTCCTTCACCTCTCTCAAACATCCTGTAAATGAGGATGACAATACAACCAGTGTACAGTCCCCAGCTTTAGTGGCATGTTGTATCATCAGACTGTACACATCCCCTGTCCTGACCAGGTCTGATGTAGTGTTGAGTAGCAGTTGACACTGTACCAGCCCTGCTTGTCCTTCACCTCTCTCAAACATCCTGTAAATGAGAATGACAATACAACCAGTGTACAGTCCCCAGCTTTAGTGGCATGTTGTATCATTAGACTGTACACATCCCCTGTCCTGACCAGGTCTGAGGTAGTGTTGAGTAGCAGTTGACACTGGACCAGCCCTGCTTGTCCTTCACCTCTCTCAAACATCCTGTAAATGAGAATGACAATACAACCAGTGTACAGTCCCCAGCTTTAGTGGCATGTTGTATCATCAGACTGTACACATCCCCTGTCCTGACCAGGTCTGATGTAGTGTTGAGTAGCAGTTGACACTGTACCAACCCTGCTTGTCCTTCACCTCTCTCAAACATCCTGTAAATGAGAATGACAATACAACCAGTGTACAGTCCCCAGCTTTAGTGGTATGTTTATCATTAGACTGTACACATCCCCTGTTCTGACCAGGTCTGAGGTAGTGTTGACACTGGACCAGCCCTGCTTGTCCTCCACCTCTCTGTCAAACATCCTGTAAATGAGAATGACAATACCCAGGAAGAAATTATAGTTTAAAGTAAAATATTCTAAACAGCAGTCTAATACACAATAATTATACTCAATAGTTATTTAGTCCCCAGAGCACCATTTCACAGTGTTTTCCTCAAGTTGAGCCCTGCATCTGATACTTTGACTAACACTAACATTTTTGTCGGTTACCTTCGAACGTCCAGAAACTTCTTCACCAGTGCTATCTTGTTGCTGACAGCCTCTGCTACCTGACTGTACTGATCTGCGTCTTTGGCGATACAGCGGGAGGCTTCATTCAGAGCTCCCAGCGCCTTCTCATAGTTACCATACTCGTCCACCTCTACCTGATGTGAATGAATAGTATGAATCATTCAGGCAGGCAGTAATGTTGTTAAATAAGGTCAAGCTCGAATTGATAAACCAGGGATAGGTTGCTGGATTTTCCAAATGAACTGTATTTCAACAATTTCAAAGAAATCATTTTTGGTGTCATAGTTCAAGAGTTATCTGGTCTAAAAGTGTCAAAAACAATTTATGTATTGTTATAAATTTACTTCTTCTAATTAAATTTTGATGGTACCTAAATAAATAACACAATAAATATTAATAAGCTTAATTAGGAATTACGGTAATAAGCTTTCATGCTGTACAAGACAGTTATTTCGCTAGTAGCCTATACATATTTTTTAGAACTTTTGAGCGAAAAACCGAAAAATAGGATCTTTAAGCCCTCCCCTCCTTCCCCCTACCACAAAGGCCTGTTAAATGGCAGGGAATTTTGTGTGTTCACCTCCTAACTAGGCCTTAAAAAGTCACATCGTTGGAAATTGTTTTGAATGATCTTCCTCTTTACTTTTTTTTAGAATCTGTTGCAAGGATATAGATTAAAGGTAGGACAAAATAACCAATTACATCAATAATCTTAGTATACCTGAGCGCAGGCCATGTAGAAGTTAGCCAGCAGGTGAGGAGCCTTGCCCTTGGTGTAGAAGGTGATGATATTCTTCAGCAGATCAGGTTTAGCTTGCCAGTCAAGGGACTGTAGATAGTTAGCAGCCATCACGTAGATCTCTTGTTGTCTGGACACTGTAGCGAAGAACACTATCTTGTCTGTGTCACCAGACTTGAGCAAAGCCTTCATTGCCTTTACCTGTAATGAAATCGTAGCTAAGGACTAGTTGATCCAGTAAAATCTATATATTTATTCAGCTACTTTTAATAAGCTTGTCAATTGCTATAAATTTAATTAATACCACAAAATAGTTTTGTACAATAACTATAAACTTTTGTTGCTGGTCACAAAATATCCGAAACTTAAGAAAGTTTTGATCCATTAATTCACACTTTGTCAGAGGCTCAATTCGACTAGTACGTTTATTTTCATCCTACAACCGGCTAAAACATCAACACAAGATGTGTTCATCTTCCCACAGTCACATACCTTCTTGCCTGCCTGGGTGTATTTCTTGGTAGCCAGATGGTAGTTGGCTTGAGCAGCTGCACATTGTGCTAGAAGGTCTAGCAGTTCAGCACGGCCAGGTGTGCTAGTGGGAGGTGTGAGCACATCAGCCAACTCCTCCGTCAGGATCACAGCGTGCTCTGAACACAACGCTATAGCCTCGTCATACTGCAAAATACACACACAAAGTTAACAGTAAACAGGAGATGGGCAAGTAATAGAATTTGTGATTAAATTTTGACAGATTAATCTTGAGATAGGCTTTTCCTATGGTCAAAGTCATCTGTCCATTCTAGGTCTTCCTTTAGATGGCCGTGAATTGGTGAAAATAGTGGATAAAGTTTTTGTTTAGTTGTATGTTGAAGAGTAATTCCAGGTCACTACTTGCACAAATTATGTTCTCATTACTTATTACACAATTTTCTATTAAAAAATCATAGAAAAAATTGTATACTTAATAATTTTAAAAATAAGAAAATAAATCTTAAACCATAATGTTTCACCTTTTTGGCAATGGCTAGAAGCCTGACAGCTTTCTCAAAGTGTTGCTTGTCAATGAAAAACTGGGCACACATCACCAACAGTTCACTGTCCGAGTCAGAGTTGAGTTCTGAGGCGATCATCTGGACTGCTTCAACTTGCTCATACCTATACAATACATATGTGGGGTTGAGGATATTGACACAATTAATTTGATAGATATTTACTATATTAAGTAAAAGAAATCCTTAAGTGGTTTAGAGAGGAGGGTAAAAAATTTTACTCTCTCTTAACATTATGATAAATTTTGGTTTAAAAAGAAACTGAATATGTAAAAATTCCTAATTTTGGTTTTGTGAATAAGAGAGTGGTATATTGGAGTTTTGTTGCAGTACTGTAATGCCTAAATATGAATAATGAGGCAGAGCCATTTAAACAAAATAATTAGTGGATAAGTATTTTCACTAAATATAGGCTACTGATAATAATTGTAATGCAATATTAATATTACCCTAAAACGCAAAGAAAAAATATTTCTACTAATCACAATGGACACCTAGTTTTTAATCTAGTTTGGTAGCAGCGTACTCCATGTACAAGGTACAGAATTGCAAGTATCACAATATTGTTAAGAACTTAGATAAAAATGTTTATAGTTAATTTAGAATTGAAACTACTTTCTTAGCTACTTAATGGTATTCTGAGTACAGACCTGAAGGCAAGGTCTAGAGCACGATGCAACATGCCTGCGCGGTGGTATAACTGTACAGCTTTGTCTGGGGCGGAGGGAGCGAGGTAGCCAGCAACTTCCAGCTGCTCTCGACGACCTGCACCCTGCGCTAATGTCCACAGCTGCTGGTCCAGACCTTGCTCCTGTTAACAACCAATTGTGACGGCTATAGAAGATATCCCTTCCTTTCTCTATACAAGAAACTATTTTACTTTCTCCTTTCATACATAGTACAAATATAGAGAAAGAATTGTTTCCGTAAAAATGTTTCGGGTAGAAATATTTGTTTTGGATCTCCCTGAACCATTTTGAAATGATGCCTGTGTGTATGTGGATGTATACAGAGCTGCAGACTACTAAACCTGTGACCCAAAAGAAATTTGGTATGTGGGTACTACTAGCTTGTGGTATCTCCAGACGTTTTTCATCTTGTTGAAATTTCAGTTTTTAATGGTTTTGTCATAAAAACCTATAAATTTCATAACAAAAGTAGTAAAGTTTTAATGTCAAGTTAAAGGGAGTCTAATGGACGTTAAGCCAAGCATGGATCAAAGGTTCTAGTTAAAATTTGTTTAGGAAGATCAGTTATAGTTGTTATCTTTTTTTGCCTGTGTTCAGGAGTAGTTTGTGTATTACTCAAGTGTTGTATGTGTCTGTTTGATGATACCATTTCTTGGTACTAATGTAGATCATTCCAAATGACAATAGTTGTTTCTCAAACCACCCACTGTCTTGTAGCCACTTACCTTACAGATCCTGATGGCATTGGCGAAGGCTGTGGCTCTGGTGAAGAAGTGGATAGCCTCAGGTATCCGACCCATGTTCTCATACTGCCTGGCCAGGTGATAACAGGCTGCTCGATCTCCAGAACTAGAAACAAGTTTAGTGTCGATTGCTACATATACATTGAAAGATTAACATATTGTGTTTCACTAATTTGTCAATTTGAATTAGTCAACCTAAATTTTGCTTTTTGATTTTTAATCATATCATGAAATTGAAATGTTAAATTATCTACGAATTAATCTTATGGAACTGGAAACTCAAATAGCTAACAGATGTAGCTTTCCATAAAATTAATGTAAAATGCATAAAAATTGGCCAAACCTTTTTACAAAAGTGAAATTAGTGGATAATTCTACCTTAGTCTGAATCAGAATGTTAACCCTCATTGTAATAAGTAGGTCTGAATAGATTAAAAAATTTACATAAGATTGTAGCAGAATCCTCTTATTAAATAGTCGAATCTCAGTTCTTAAGCAGATTCATCAATCAGTAAAAGGACTAAATCCAAGATGTCATTTTTTCATTTCATACCAAACATCATATAGCACAACATGATGAAAAATAGTTATTTGTGCAACTAGTGAGCAAAGGGAGCAATTGACTCACTCGAGAGAAGGCGAGTGAGGAGTGGTTTCTCGAGTGAGGCAACTGCACTTTGCACTCGAGTTGCACATTATATTTTTCCTACAGTTACCATAAAACAAATAAATTGGTAAAGAAACGTGACATATTTTTACACAGAAGTGAACTTTTAATATTACATTTAATGATACAACAGTACAACAGCTGACCAGCTGATTTACAGCCAGTGCTGCCAACGTATTTCGCGCGCATACGACCTTGTAATAGTGTGCCTTGTGATAATGTTACGCGCTCACTGTTTTGTGCCTTCACGTTGCAAATCTGGAGTGAGTGAGACAAAGTATTTAGAGTGAGACTACTAATTAATTAATTAGAGTTGGCCACTTTGCTTTCTCAATTCAGTGAGAGAACATGTACATTGTTAGGTAACTGTAGGAAAAGTGTATTGTCTACCTGTTGGCGATTTCCGCAGCTCTGTCAAAGTCCTCCAGGAAACACATGACTCGTACCATAGACAGATGATCACCGGCCTCCGTATAATGCTTCATGGCAGACTCCATATCTCCTGTGCTCTCCATGTATTGTGCCCACCACTTGATCAGTGCTCTAGGAACACATACAGAAATGTGACTTGCGATGTCTTAGTGCTGTCCGGTTTAGAAGAACTAGCCAGGTTCAAAACAATCAATATGTTTAATTCCGAATCAATTACTTATTCTTTGTCCGATTTCCGTGGCATCAAACCCTGCAGTAGATATATAAACTATTAATCCTGAATGTTTTTAAAACATTTAGTACACTCTATTTGAAAACATGGTAGTGTAATCGACTGTAAGCTAAGTCAAAGATGTCAAGGGTTCTAGTCTTAATTTTGCCAATTAAATTTTTTTGTATGAAAAGTACTTTTGCTGTAGTAGTTATTTTCTTTTTGTTGCCTGTGTTCTTAAGTTGTATGTGTATGCCCTACTCAAGAATATACAATAATAATATACCACTCAAGAACACAGGCACTGAAAAGGGTAGTAACTATTTTAATATACCTAATTCAAATTGTTGAGCCTGGGATATACTTAAGAAATTATAGTTAATTTTTGCACTGTACCGGGCCACCCCTTGCTTTATTAAATATGTTACACCCAGGCCTAAAATCAATTCCAAGTTAACTTAGGGACTACCGGTATTCCTATCTTCCGAGTTTTTTACTTATGTCATCCTAATGGTTATTGAAAAGGGTTCACAATATTGTAATCACATACGGGTCACTAGACTTGGTGATGTATTTCTCCAGAGTTGTATAGTCATGCAGCAACATCCGAGGTACTTGTTGTCTGTGAGTGTCGGCTCTCTTGTACATCTCTGCAGCAGCCTCCACATCTCCCTCCGTCTCTAAATGTTTCCCGTACCTGCCACACAGAATAAAACTTACTTTATGATTTAAAAGATTGCAACCATGATAAAGTGTTAGAACAGATCAACTGCAAGTAGCCAAGTATCCAGATGCCATGTTAGTGTATAATCTAAATTAATCCACAACAAAATCAAATACTTCTGCCACATCAATTTTTGCTACGATTCAAGGAAAACCTGAAATGATGTAATACATTACATAACTTTAGAAGGAAGAAGAAATGGATACACAACTAACTCAGCTAACTGCAAGTAAGCTTATTCAGAAGAAGGTAGTAAAAAGAATTTACAAAATATAAGCAAAATATCAATTGAACTTATCTAATGGACATTTTTCTGCTATAAACTGCCTGGAACTCTGTGAGTTTCATCCCTAAGAGTACTGTATCTGTTTCTTCTTTCTTGATGTTATCTTAACAAGTAAGTCCCCTATATTTTACTCAGGGGCTAACAGTTGGCCAGAAGGATTGCTTCTGCCCGGAAATAATTTGTGGGCCAAGCTCGATTTAGCTTTTATTTTCCCGATTGGAACACACAAAGATGTGCCATCTAAAATTGACGATTATGCTACAATCGCATGTGAGATGTTCACGGTTTTCTCGTGATCGTGGGAGACAGTGATGATGTTGCCGCAACTGCAGGAGATATTCCAAATTTCACCATGACCTCAGAAGATGATCTTGATTTAGCCAAGACCACAGAAGGTGTTCTACATTTTGCTGGGATGTGGAAGATGTTCATAGTTTCACCGATGTCTGAGGGGATCATGTATAACATTACGTATGAAACAATTGCAGTATTAAAATTCATATTTTAAAAATCAATACTTTCCAAAGCAGCTTGATTGTGTCCCCAGGCTGACATTTTTTACTCAACCCAACCTTAAAAAGTCCTCAGACTCCTAATTTCAGGTGATTTTCTATCTGAAACACCAAATTCTATTCATTAACTCTAGTCTTACCAGTGACACGTGTGTCGTAGATGTATTCTGTCCTTGTCCTCTGCCAATCGGACACTGTCAGGCCACTTGCCACAAGTCTGTAGTAGTTTGTTTAGCAAATCCCATCTGCCACACTCTGCATACAGCCTCTCCGCCTCCTCCTACAATCACAAACATGATACAATCTAAAGATCAGACTGAAGAGTATGGACTGACAATCCCACACTAATTCACAGCCACGTAGTGCCCATATTTGGGATTCTCCTTTGAGAACAATAACATATTCTGAACACCCATGAGCACTGCCAAGCAATAAGTGAGATTAGAAGGAATGCCTTGTTAAGAAAAATTTGAGTATAACTGTACTCAAACTCTGTGTAACTCAGAGAGGAGCAACACAGTTTCCTTACAGGTATATATAAGTTCAGACAACTGATCAAAGATCGGAATCAGAAAAGCTTTATTCAAGATTTATACAATATATACATGAAATAAATGCATAAATACAAAATGGCATCAAAACAGCTTATTACTAATTAAAAATACTCGGTTAATAACCTAAGCTAAATAAAACAGGGAAATTTAATTAATGTAATTACATCTTGTAAAACTCTTCAAATGAGTAATATGCTCTATCAATTAGAAACAGAAACAGTTTAAGTTTTTTTTAGGACCTAATATTTTATATAAATATTTCTTTTGGTAGATGATACAAAAACGTAATATCTGCAGCTGTTGGCTTTCTCAAAGATCAAGAGGTTACAATCGTATTGAAACTGAAATAGACCTATTTATTGCGGTTTTCGTCAACATGCAGTAACAGGCGGGAACAGACTGTTATTGTATTAATTATGTGTTTTAGCAAATTTCCCTATAGGGAAGTAGCTATTACCGTAGGTGGCACGGTAAGACCTAGACCCGGGACCGATTTACTTTTTCATTTTGATGTCCCCAGAGGCCAAAAACACCATTCGTTCAAATTTTTATATATGTATATATACAGGGTGAGTTTCTACTGACCGTGTTAACTTCGCCAGTAGGCTCTACTCACTAAAAGGAACAAAAAAGGTTCTATAAACCCATGACCGATTTTCAACTGTTTGGCTATAATAGGGGATTTTGTGTTTTTCTTATTTTATTAGACTTTGCTCTAATAAAAACTTAACCAATTACTTTAGAGAGTTATAGTTAAAATCATTGGAAAGAATATTAAATTTGCTATAGATTAAAGGTTTCATTCAACAATTATACCATTACATAGTCCACGTTATATCCAAAATAAAGTAAAAACTGCATTAAATTAATTAGTTATAATAATTTTCATGAGCCCATTTTGATACATAAACCTGCATCTATGCAATGTTGAAATGCATAAAAAACTTGGCCATTTAATAATCTTTCAAATGATATGCTATTCGATACTATTAATATAAACCAGTGAGAAATTACTAATAAACTACAATAAAACACGGTTTACAGATTTTGTTTTTGTACAGTTTTTACTGTTAATAATATTTACTGTATTAATCATGTTGGCATACTCTTGATTGGTAAAAGGTTCCATAGCTTAATAAATGTAGAAAAATGCTTAATTGACTTGGAAATACAAAGTTAAAACAACAAATTACTCAACAATGTATGTTCAAACAGCTGAGTTATCTAGCTATAGATAACAAATCAATAAAAGCTGAATTAATCAAGCACAAGGTAAAACTAATTACACAGCATTTAAGAATCAAACAAACTGAATCTTTGAAAATGCGAAAAAGCTTGAGTTTATACATTTTATTAATTAGGTTAATTTTAATAAAAATTTACAAGTTACAAAAAATTTAAAAATTTTATCAGATTGTTCAATATAATACAACATGGAGTATACAGTAATTATTACATAACAGTAAAAACTATACAAAAACAAAATCTGTAAACCGTGTTTTATTGTAGTTTATTAGTGATTTTTTCACTAGTTAATATCAATAATAGTATTGAATAGCATATCAATTTGAAAGATTATTAAATGGCCAAGTTTGTTATGTATTTCAACATTGCATAGATGCAGGTTTATGTATCAAAGTGGGCTCATGAAAATTATTGTAACTAATTAATTTATTACAATTTTTACTTTATTTTGGATATAACGTGGACTATGTAATGGTATAAATTGTTGAATGAAACCTTTGATTTATAGCAAATCTAATATTCTTTCCAATGATTTTAACTATAACTCTCTAAGTTAATTGGGTAAGTTTTTATTACATAATTTGTGGAGCAAAGTCTAATAAAATAAGAAAAACACAAAATACCCTATTACAGCCAAACGGTAGAAAACCGGACATGGGTTTATAGAACCTTTTTTATTCCTTTTAGTGAGTAGAACCTACTGGCAAAGTTAACACGGTCAGTAGAAACTCACCCTGTATATATATATATATATATATAGACTTATATATATATATACGTCCGTGAACGCGATAACGTGAGTAATTTTTTTCAGATTTTGATGAAATTTGGTTTAAAGGTGTAAAGCGGGATAAACTTGAATGAGTTTGCGAACCAGCACGATCGGACCATGGGAACGGGGCTTTACGGGGGGTTTTATGGGGTAAAAATTGGTTTTTCTCACTTTGGACCCTCAAAACACAAAATTTCCCGATTTCTCTTTAGACCTTTTTAAAGAGCTTAAAAAAACAAATAATTTAATATATAAAAGTATTTTTGTTCGATTGTTAGTAACGGAGAAAATTAAAAAAATTGTAAATTTAAAATTCCCATGTTATTCTTATGGAGAATATTGTCAAATGTTGTAGTTTGCTTGTTTATGGATATATTTTGATCAAACTTGGCAAATTTATTTATTTTGTACTAAGCTATCAATATTTTACTCAAAAACACACTTTATCAGTTTCCTTGTAGCAGCAAACCTAGGTACTCGTTAAACCTAATGTTATTAAAATATATTTAACTGAAAATCAATTCAGAGAAATGGAAATTCGCTTAGTCGGCAGGTTTGCTGCGGCGGGGGTATTTAAATATGTCTTGTTAAGAAAGCAACAGCTGTTAATTTTCTTTCAAGAAGAATGCTGTTTGATAATGGCATAGAAGACATGTGCGAAACTAACAATTTGGGCCTGCAAACCGGTATTTAATTGAAAACAAACATAGAAGTTTAAACCCACCAACATTCCCAGATGTACAGCCAACATCGCTACCCGAGCTTGTATCTCAGGATGTATTTCAGCTTGGCGCAGTGCAGCCACTCCTCTAGCATCCTTCATGTTGCCCAGACACACTCGCGCCACGTCCAGACGACGGGCCTTCACACACATGCGCGCCAAGTTAGTCCACACAGGCACACTGCAACCATCAACAATAATACCTGAACTATTTCATCACAAGGAGCATATAAAAGTGCAATGAGCAAGAGTAAAGTGCAGAAATAGGTTAGGGAGTTTAAACGGCCGTGATAGTGTTCATTTTAGACTAAGTTGTGTTTTAGGCCATTTGACAATGTCAATTGCTTTTGTAGAGACAATAAAGATATTCGATTTTATTTTATTTTATGTGGGTACCCAAACTTCTCACAAAAGACCACAAAAGAAAAGGATTTTCACAGCTATTTTTAAACCTCAATTTGTCAAGGCAAACTAGACCAAGAAGACAAACAATGAAGACTTGTAATGACGACAATTGCATGGAATGAGAGATACGAACAAGGAAAAATCCAAACCTGCTCAGTCTGTGAATGTGAGACCTAGACCAACACCCAGCTAATATGAAGAGACTCTAAACATTAAAAAAAAAAATAAACGTTGATATATTTTTCCTTTAAATGTGTTTTTATTGTGCAGAGTATTTGGACCCGGGCAACAACAGGTTTCTCTGTTAGTTTACAATATGCCTGGCATCCGTTTTAGCTTGTGGAATATCTCTGTCCTGTTTGTTAAGACCATGTGACGCTAGTGCAACCTAGCGTAGGATCCCTGAACTACCTCAGTGGCTTGTCCATGTACAGCAGGACCCATGATGTTAAAAGTTTTTTTTAAAAGATAAAATTACTCAGAGATTGATTTTTTGTATGTTAACTCAAACATAAAAAAAAATATTGTAGAATAAATAAAAACTGAAAGTATAACATAATAATTACAGAATACACGACCATGCTTACAGCAGATCCTCCTGACCTAGGGACATTGTTTTGCCTCAAGCTATTATTGTTACCTGTGTATGTTGTGGATGGCTTTGAACGCATGATCAATGTCGCCAATGATGAGACTGAAGCTAAACTTGATGACAGCGCTCCTAGTGGCCGCATCACAGTTCTCCAGTCCTTCAAAGTCTCGCATTAGAATCTTCTCAACTGATATATTCTGGAAAATAAACAATCAATTTTGAATCATACTATTTTAAAGTTCTATAACAGGTTTAAAAATGATTGAACGATTTATGTTTGAATTAAAAGGGTATATTTTCAACTTCTTATAATGTAGTAAAGCTACAAAATAAAGCAGATTTAACTGATTCATGAAAATATTTTTTGGGTTGATATGAACAGTAAGACTTTTTAGTCTTTAACTATTTTTTTCTATTATTAAAGAAGACCATTTTTTATGATAAGAAAAAACACATTTACAATTTGCTCATTGAATTGGGTAAGTTAAAATAGTTATCTTTACTGTTTCCAATTATTTCTGGCAAAGGCTCCCAACAACACTGAGACAGGCGCTAGTGGTATTGAACATTTAATCAATCTATCAGCAAATAATTGTTAAGCAAATGACTGTACAAAATAACACCAGCGGAACATGTGGGCATTTGTATCTTGCTCGCCAATTTAATTGATACAATCCAAACCCAAATATAATATTTAAAGAAAATTGGATAGAATAAAACTTTCACAGAAGCCCAACATATTAATTATCATTAATCTACAATGATAATTTGTCCAAACAATATTGAATAATAATAATAATGGATATTGTAGAAAAAATTTCAGTTTAATGAACATGTTTGCAGTGAGTTTGCTTGTTTACCCACCTGTTGATTGGTCGGTTTGCTCAAGACGATGTAGTTGGGAGTGTCCACAGCCAAAAGAGAGACAAACTCTTGGTCCGTTGTTCGAGAGTCTTGTAACAACAAACCATGCTCACTGGACGCTATCAGGCTCACCAACACCTGGACAAACGAACAATGACAAATTTATTGCTTAAAACCGCAGAAGATGTTCATGATTTTGTTAAAACTGCGGAATATGTTCATGATTTTAGGCGACCACAAAAGATGTTCTAGATTTCCCTGTGGCAAAGGAAGACATCCATCATTATTTTCCCGTGACCACAGAAGATGTTTACAATTTTGCCAATACCTCAGAAGGCTGCGTAAAATGTTAATAACTTTGTCAAAATCGCAGAAGATGTTGTCGATATTAATGGGGGAGATCGAGTGCATTATTATGTATAGATCGATTGTATTATTACAGTTAATATTTATTAACCAAAGCAAACCAATTTGGCCCGACCCAAAACTTTGGCCAACTTGGGGTAAAAAAGTCTTGCTTGCTGTCCTGTAGAAATAAGTCAATTTGTTTGATCCGTTTTCCATAAAGATTTGTTAGTGAGGGTGTAACTAGTGGAATTTTTTAGGAATCACAAACGCTTCAAAAACGCAAAGTGTTTTTTAAGTAAACTCATCAAACTTTTGTGTCAGGGATCAACCCTCCTCCCCCTTGCACTGAGTTCTGAGACACTAACCACCAGACTATCAATACACTTTAACTCTCAAATTCCTTGCGCTTTTATGTTCTGACAGTCTATTAAGTTTGACTACTCACATTGTTGCTGACCAGAGGATTGGCTACTTTTCTCAGCACATTGTTGACCTGAGTCTGTCCCGGGGGTCGTCTGGTCTCACACACCAAAAGTCGAGGTTCCTCCCAATCCCAGAATAAGTTGACAACAAACCTCGACACTTCCCTGTTAAAAAATAAAATTACTTAATTCATTACAACATGATACTTACTTAAGTTTTAAATTCGTCTCACAATTTTAAGTCTAAGTAAATACCAAAACTCATGTTTAATGTTTTAATGTTTGCATAATGTTCAGATTTTTAAGGTTGTAATGTATATAGTTGCATATTGTGAAATTTTGGTAGAAAATGTTTTGATAAGTGTCAATTTAAGCAGTTTTTTTTGTGAAGTTAGGAAGGGTAGATTACAAATATGCACTACAGATCTGAACAATTTTTGATCAAGATGATGATTTTTTTAGAGGTTTTGGCAGCCTTTTTCAACTATGCATTTTCCTGTACACATGGGTCTCAGGTGTGAGGGTAAAGTATAAAGCAAAGCAAGGGGTGAGCCAATACAGAACAAGATATGTTCAAACAACATATTATTCTAAGACTACAGCTCAGAAAAGCCATGTTTAAACAAGGCCAACTGACCGGCAGATTACCTGCCTCGAATGTCATCTGAGGTAGGTTACCTGCCTGCCAACTGACTTCGTGTAAATGTGGCTAAAGGGATGCAAAATCTTATAGGCCTGGTGCTGGATATATAATTTAATTAGTTAGGTTTTAAACTAATCATAACTTATTTCATAGTAAACTCAACTTACATATCTTGAGGACCAAAACTATGAGTGAGTATTGTGTCAGACTCCATATCCCAAACATAGACTTGAGGGAGAGGAAGCAGATTGGAGCCCGCCACACTTAGAGCAACTCTGTACAGCAAACACAGTATAAACATCTCATAAGAATAATGTCTATTGAAACACTACATCAAGGACAGAATTAGGGAAAGAATCTTTTATGAAGGAGCAGTTTTGGGTAGAAAAAGCAGTACAAAATACATAAACTCTTTTTCTAAGTAAAAAAGATAAGGGAGACGGATAAAATCAATCACGGTTTTGTACAAGAAAATACTCTAAGCCAGGATTTTGATTGGTAGATTAAAGAGATGCCATAAAAAGAAGTACAGGTAGGCCAGAGAATTCACAGAACAGAAACTATACATATCTCAAGAATGTTTCACATATTTTAAACTAAACTATAGGCTAACCTTGATAACACACCAAACCTTGACTAATTTTCAGTTATCAGAAAAAAAATTAACTGACTATAATTAATACAAGTTTAATGTATTTTTCATAGATAAAAAATGAATAGTTGCAGACTCAATGATTAATAGGTGTTGTGCAAAAGGAGAGACACAGTATTTTTATGAAACTTTTATCAAAGACCCTGCTGTGAAACAAAGTAATTTTCAATTATTTCAAATTCAATCCAATGAGCAACCATTATCAGAAAATTTACAACAATTTATTACTCTTCATATGAATGACATCAGAGAAAATGCACTGCAATAAAAAAATACAACTATTACCTTGTTCCATTAGCATTTGCTCTTGCACAAATGACTTCGGCAAAGTCTGATATGCTGTCAGCTAAGTCTTTGGCTCTTCCATGTAGCTTTGCCTCTCTGAAAACGAAATAGAATTTTCTTATTTAACAACAAGACAAATATGACAGGTTTAAACTTTAAAAAGACTTTACAATATAATTATACAGCAGGAATTTGTTGAGTTTAGACTCGAGTTAGACACACCAGCCATTAGTTGTGTATGAGACGGAAGTATGGAATGAAAGAGAGTAGGGCAAAATTGGGGTTTTTTTTAGGGGTAAGTGGAAAATAAGGGATAGAGTCAGGAGTTAAAAGATTAGAGAGGTGGTTGGCTGAATCTTGCAGCTTCTCTACCATTGGTTTTAGCTGGAGACTTATGTTCACTGGCTGCTTCCCTGAACAGCTTTCCTACTAAGAACAGAGTCTTTAGTAGTCTTTCTTAGTTTCTCTTCAAGTTTTTCTTTTTTTTTCATCCTTACCAGGCACTCTTATACAACCCCTCAACGAAGAGATTAGTTAGGAGAGAGTTAGTTGAATAAAGCTTATGAGAGAGTAGATAAACCAGACTTGAAAGAATGTGGGAATTGAACATACCAAACATAATATAGTTGGCGATGATAAAGGAAGGAGATTAAGGGGAAGACTTGAAAGAGGTTCGGTAGATGAGGTGAAAAGGGACGTGGAAAAGAAAGAAGTTAAATGGCAAATGTTGGAGTAAATAAACTGTATAAGGATAGAAACAGATGTTGGGGTCTAGTCAAAGCTCAAACCAGGGAATCATTTGAACAATTACCTGCGTGAGACGTCCCACAGATGAATATAGCCACTGATGGTGGCCACAGCCAGGTAGTGATTGGTCAAGCTGACGGTGATAGGTTGTCCCTCGGTGTCTAGTGTCTGTTTGACAGTTCCCTGAAGTGTGCGGACTTGTAGCTTGGCATCACTCAAGGTCACCAGGCTCTGCTCGTACATAACTGCTGACTCTACCTCACAGTTGAATGACCCTGGAAAACCAGTCTAGAGTTGATCAAGACCTAGAGATTCAGGGGATAAAATATTTTCCCAATCATCGAGGTGAATATTTTATTTGTCGGAGTTTTTGAAATATCTACCAATTGCTCCCGACGTCTGCTGAATGCCCCTGATATCTTTCAAAACAAGGCCAGCGTCTACTGAACATGCCAGACGTATGCCAATCGATCCTGATATCTGCCAATTACATCTGATATTTTCTTGGATATAATGAGACTAACTTTAAATCACACTTATTCATGTTTGAAAAATATTATTTTCCATTACAAACTATAAATCTTTCTCACCCATAGCATTGATGGCAGAGACAGGATTGATAACATAAACAGCCACAGTTTTGCTGCTCCAAACAGCTGCATTGTCTCTAGACAAACAGACACCAAACACCTGCAGGTCTGTGTTGAGATCAGCTGTGTCTGGACCAGACTGGACAGTCAGCTGTGACGCTGACACTTGTACCACTGATAACTGAAACATAAAACCACATGTTACTTAGCACTGATTTCCTTGAGCAGCGCTCAATCAATCTATGGACTATTTAAAATAAGAGGGCTATTCAGGAAGTAAGGGTCGTTTCTGCCTGATCCTTGTCCGATCTGTGCTGATTGCACACTTTCTAGTAGAGACATGTTTGCCTTCTCAATGACCGTTTAGCGGTCACAGAGGGAGTTTCGATGTGCTCAGTGGTGCTCATTGTCACAATTGAAAACGCCGCAAGTTTGTTGTAAAGAGTACAGAAACAACGTTATAAATTGAAGTTTTGTCTAGAAACAATGCATTCAGTTTCAAAATGGCAGAGCTAAGATTGGGAGGGGGATTATAAATATGAATGCAAATAATGCAACATTCACTTTTAGCACAAACATTCTTCCACTTGTTTACTTGTAATTCTTTTTCTTTTCGGAAGTAGGTACTATATATCTATCTAAATCAAAACATTCAAAAATAAAATGTGTCTTTCCAATCTTAGAAAGCTTATCAACAATAAAATATTTCACATTACATTGTAAGAAATTACAATGTGTGCTCAATAAAATTGGACTGTAAATTAACATTTTTTTAAATATGTAATTTGTTTGGCAAAGTGTTTTTAATGTATTTAAAAAAGCCTTGAATTACAGAAAAAAGCATAATTAATAAAACAAACTTAAAGCCCAATATTTTATAATTGGTTGCTAATTTTAATTTTAGGAAAACTCAGATGAAAATGCATCAACCAGATTTAACTAATTGCACCTTTAATTATATCAATCTATATCTCTTTTGCACTCATTTCAAATTTAATATTGTAGCCTATAACACACATGTGGAGTGTACAGTTTAACATGGTTTAACTTAACAAGTGAAGTTTAAAGTAAACAAACCTAAACAGTCAGTAAATACTTATTTCTATGGAAACAATTTAAGTCTGCAATTAAATTTCTGACAAGAACCTAAATAGATGCTGTTGGATTTTGGAGTCAAATTTGGGTAACTTCATGTGATCAGAGTGGATTCTGAAGAGTAAGATCAAGGAAAGCAATTCTGTGGAATACATGACAGAGTTTGTCCATTGGCAGATCACATTGCTCCAATCAGAGATCTTGCAGAGTACAGCTAAAATGCAACTAAAGGAAGATTCCGGGAAAACCTGGGAGTTTATAGTAGGCCTACTGATGTTATACTCGCAACTTGATGTTCTTCAGAACAAATAGTATTGAGAGGATAAAAGAGTTCTTGTAGCAAAATATTGAAGAAATCAGAAGAAACACGTATAGAAGAAAATTAAGGCACATAATGGAACATCTGAGAACTTCAAGAGGAATAGAACGCCGAAGAGATAACAACTAAATTTTTGCCTGAGGATGAGTTGCAGCGGAAAACACACGACATCAAAGCATTCAGGGATGCGGTGGAAGAAAATGTAAAATATGATTTAGGACGGACTTTTAGCGTTAAGTGTCTTAAACATTTTATGTATCTAGTATAAGGTAACTTATGTATCTAGAATTAGGTAAGTATCTTTGTAATGTTATTAATCTGACCGAGTGAGGTGGCATCATGCCATTTAACATTCGGGAGGTCTGACTATCAGACCGGCCATTCGGAGGAAAGTTTGTACGGTTTCTTTCCTCACTTAGGCAAATGCCGGAATGGTTCCCTCAAGGGCCGTACCCCGCCAGGCAGAATGGAATATAGAACCCTGTTCTAATTCTGTTTGGTTAAAAAAATACCTTAGTAGGCGACCCTGTAAATAATTTAATAAAAAAACATATTGGTCTACCCCATTTATGTTTTGTGTTTTTTTTTCAGCAAATTTCTCTATAGGGAAGTAGCTAATACTGTGGTTGGGGGTGGCATGGAAAGACCTAGGCCCCGGACCAATTAACTTTTTCATTTTGATGTCCCTAGAGACTAGAGACAAAAAACACTCTTATTCAAAATGTTTGTATGTACATAATATATCATGTATAGCTGTGATATAGATATGAGTAAGTCTATATAGGTACATAGTCTATCTATATACAGACATAGGCATAACAAATTAATGTTGAGTGATAAGAGTTTAGCTGGCTTATATGGGAAAATTAGAGTCCAGTCGCAAAATAGGCACACAAATAAAAGATAATAGAATTTAAAACACATAACATTAATATTTCGCCCTGATATAGAACATTATCAGATAATGAATTAAAGAGAAAAATAAATTAAAAATAGGGTTTAATCTATATGCTGTAAAAGTTGTACGTAAGGAAAAAAAGTTTTATGAGTTGTGATATTTTATTTCGTAATTTAGTTCCTTGACTACCCTAATTTTCCCAGATAAACTAGCTCTTCAAAACTATTTATGCATATACTTATGTAGCGCACTGCATCTTTCATGTTGCGCATACCTCATCATAGGAGTACAGCATAATAACAGGGCCTTTGTTGTAACTGCCTGCCGTCTTTGGCACAACCTACCTTTATCCATTAAAATGCTTGATTTGATAATCGTCCTCGGTTCTTGGTGGCACTGAAAAAATTGTACTTAGAGCGTATGGCCTCAGCTGGTGTGTCTTAGGACTGTTTTGGCACTTGCGTAATTGCTGACTGAGTGAGTGGGAGATTTTGTTAGACATTGTGTTTTTGTTTTTAAAAGTATTGATTATTGATTTTGTGTAAATAATATTGTGTTCTATTAAATTGTGTACATATTATATTTTATATTTATTTATTAGTGATGGGCGGATCCAAGAAAATGTCGGTACCGGATCCGGATCTTGAAAATATACAGACTGTCATAAGGGCTTGTTAAAAAAACGTAATTAATAGAATGCCAATTTAAATCATACTGTTTAAAATTAAATTGGTAATGTTTAAAGGTTAATATATATTATACTAGCTGTACCCGCGGGCTTTGCCCCGTTTAACTTCATAAGTGAGCTCGTTCTCATGGCTCAATCACGTTCTGGTTGAAGTTTGTTCGCTACGCTCACTCACCTTTAGGTTGGAGGTCGTTCGCTACGCTAACTCGCCTCCGCTCACTCACCTTTAGGTTGGAGGTCGTTCGCTACGCTAACTCGCCTATTAGCTGTTGTCATAAATTTAAAAAAATAATAGTGCTGCACCCTGTTGGTAATCCTTGTAACTTTAATGCTATTGAACATAATAGAGCAGAACCAACTTGTTTATTTGAAACAGCTGTTAAGATTCATTATTTCCTTTTAAATATGAAAAATCATAAGGTTAATATCAGTCAAAAATTTTGGGTCGGGCCAAATTGGTTTGCTTTGGTTAATAAATATTAACTGTAATAATACAGTCAATCTATACATAATAATGCACTTGATCTCCCCTATAATATCGACAACATCTTCTGCTATTTTGACAAAGTTATTAACATTTTACGCAGCCTTCTGAGGTATTGGCAAAATTGTAAACATCTTCTGTGGTCACGGGAAAATAATGATGGATGTCTTCCTTTGCCACGGGGAAATCTAGAACATCTTTTGTGGTCGCCTAAAATCATGAACATATTCCGCAGTTTTAACAAAATCGTGAACATCTTCTGCGGTTTTAAGCAATAAATTTGTCATTGTTCGTTTGTCCAGGTGTTGGTGAGCCTCCTAGGTAAATGGGATTTGGGAGAATTAGTGATGAGTGAGTCAGTGAGTCAGTGAGGGCTTTGCCTTTTATATATATAGATTTAGAGTAATCTCCAGTTGAGCCCATAATCCCTCATTTTTTGGGGACACTAAAACTTTTCCAAATCTTAAAATGGAACTATTAGTTGATGATATTAGTTGGGCAATGTCACAGCACTGTATATTACAACGTCAATAACCTGTATGGATGGGCAATGTCACAGTACTGTATATTACGACGCCAATAACCTCTATGGTTGGGCAATGTCACAGTACTGTATATTACGACGTCAATAACCTGTATGGTTAGGCAATGTCACAGTAATGTATATTATGAGTTACGACGTCAGTATCCTCTATGGTTGGGCAATGTCACAGTACTGTATATTACGACGTCAATAACTTATGGTTGGGCAATGTCACAGTACTGTATATTACGACATCAATAACTTCTATGATTGGGCAATGTCACAGTACTGTATATTACGACGTCAATAACCTCTATGGTTAGTTAATGTTACAGTATATGCCTCATAATTCTTTTCAAAAAAAATATATATTCTCAAATCCCGATCTTTTCTTAGGATTCGGTGGATTCGAGATCCGGATTCGACACATCCCTAGTCGTAAAATACAGTACTGTGACATTGCCTAACCATACAGGTTATTGACGTCGTAATATATAGTACTGTGACATTGCCTAGTCATACAGGTTATTGACGTCGTAATATACAGTACTGTGACATTACCCAACCATAGAAGTTAATAACGTCGTAATATACAGTTCTGTGACATTGCCCAACCATAGAAGTTATTAATGTCGTAATATACAGTACTGTGACATTGCCCAACCATAGAGGTTATTGACATCGTAATATACAGAACTGTGACATTGCCTAACCATACAGGTTATTGTTATTTTATGAATTATATTATTTTTATGTTGGTATTCTTAATAATTGACACTATTCATGGATATATTGTACATTATGAATAAAGGATGATTTTATTTGATTTGATTGACGTCGTAATATACAGTACTGTGACATTGCCCACCATAGAGGTTATTGACGTCGTAATATACAATACTATGACATTGCCTAACCATACAGGTTATTGACGTCGTAATATACAACACTGTGACATTGAGTAAAAAATCGGGAAAAAATTGGTCTTTTACATGGATACAGACAGCTTTGTGTTAGTAAAAAAAAATCGGGGAAAATCGGAAAAAATCGGATCCATCAATACCGGATCCAGCCCAAGATCCGGAATTTTTTGGATCCGATCCGGTGCCGGTTTTAGCTTGGATCCGGCGGATCCGGTAGTCCGATATCCGGATCCGACCATCACTATTATTTATATATGTATGCAGGTTAAGTGTAAGAAAGGGCCATGTGGCCCTAAAAATAAAAGATGAAATAAAGGATTTTCATTTCATTTATTTATTTATCTGTGTATTTCTGTATTTACACATCAATGGTCAACCCCATCCTCTGTTAGGCCTATTTTTAGCAAGTAAAATATACAAGGTTCCCAAGCTGGCCGTCAGTAAACTGAGGAATAAGCTGGTCTGGTGTTAGAGTGCAGGACTTCTATCTCTGAGGTCCCGGGTTCAAATCCCGCCAATCACCAATGGATTTTAACTAAGTGATAATGCCTCAACCCTCGAGGCCCATATGTGTAAAACAGTGATACAGCAATCTTACCCCTCGATGGTATGCTGCGCACAGGTTGTGTTCCTTCATGACGTAGGTGTTTGCAGAAGTATTGACGGCCAGCAAGGTTCCACCCCCACCCCACGCACACAGCTTGGCAACTCCGGCCACCTTGGCAGGACTCAGTGGGTCCCATCCCCCGGCTGAGTAGCGCCAGAACACTATGTTACCAGCCGTAGTGCAACCACAGAGAACACCTGCGGAAATAACTTAAATTAGTTCTATTTTCATTAATTTAGTGACTCGTAAGGTGGAGTCATCCTGTAATCCAGATAATCAGAGGTCACGAATTGTGGATATGATACTCCCTGGTGTGGTTTATCGTCCACACTAGTGAGTACCACAACTATCCGCGGTACTATCCTGATAATTAGACCAATTCGTTAATTACATGGCAAAAATGCGGTTCGAATTTTACTTGTAGGTACGGTACCTTAGTTGCCAATGGCTGAATAGGCTATTTCTTAACAGCTGTGTCCAAGGAACATGTCGGTCTTAGTCAGTAACAAGACAACTAGATCACGCCACTCAGCCTACACTCATCTCCATACACACTTGGCTTAAAATACCTACATTCGTATAGTTGCTATTTCATAAAGAAATATTAAGTATAGGAGAATTGTTTGTAATCAGTTTTTCAGCATGCAAAAGTTTCAGATTTATAAAATAACACTTAATTGGGTTTGAGAATATCTAATAAAATTTGAAAGATAGTGTCTAAAATGTACCTATGTATTGTACTTAAATTAAGGTCAAGGATGTACCAAAGAGCACAAAGGTTTTTAGGATTTGTTGTGAGGATAGCAAGGGTACCTGAATGGGAAAGAGTCTAAACTGGTACTGTAGATGTAACACAAAACTTTAGACTATCACCATACTCAAAATATTAGAATATTTTGCTATCAATGACAGCATGTTCAACTAAGTTATGAGTTGATGGTACAGTTAGATTTGATTTAAGCTATGAAACATAACTTTACCTACCTAAACCTGAACTAATCTGGCTAAACTTCACCCAACCAACGACAATTGCAGTAATTAACCATACAACTTTTATTATCCTAAATTTGTATCCTTATTAGGTTAGGAATGCTAACTTCCACAACTATTTTGACCCTTACTGTACATGCCACTGTATTGTTACCAGGAGCATGCTAGTCTAGTGAACTAGTGGTAGAATGTGGTGTGTTGACCTCTTGAGGTCTTGGGTTCTAATCCCGCCAATCGCCAAAGGACTATGTAAGTCATAGTGCTGCGACTTCTAATCCTAGTCTGAAATAGTGTAAAAAATCCCAGTATACAGCATGGTCAAAAATATAACCCTTACCTTTACTGGGACTGTATGCCAGACTGGTGATTGTCTGCACTGTGACGTCTGGTAGTTGAGCACTGAGAACATAAGTCTCCCCTGTATGAGGCTCCCAGCATCTTACTGTTGTGTCACTGACAGTACAAGCCACTGTGTTGTTCCCAGCCCACACTACAACATTGCCAATGTCACTCACCTTTACTGGGACTGTATGCCAGACTGGTGATTGTCTGTACTGTGACGTCTGGTAGTTGAGCACTGAGAACATAAGTCTCCCCTGTATGAGGTTCCCAGCATCTTACTGTTGTGTCACTGACAGTGCAAGCCACTGTGTTGTTCCCAGCCCACACTACAACATTGCCAATGTCACTTACCTTTACTGGGACTGTATGCCAGACTGGTGATTGTCTGCACTGTGACATCTGGTAGTTGAGCACTGAGAACATAAGTCTCCCCTGTATGAGGTTCCCAGCATCTTACTGTTGTGTCACTGACAGTACAAGCCACTGTGTTGTTCCCAGCCCACACTACAACATTGCCACTACCACTTACCTTTACTGGGACTGTATGCCAGACTGGTGATTGTCTGCACTGTGACATCTGGTAGTTGAGCACTGAGAACATAAGTCTCCCCTGTATGAGGTTCCCAGCATCTTACTGTTGTGTCACTGACAGTACAAGCCACTGTGTTGTTCCCAGCCCACACTACAACATTGCCACTACCACTTACCTTTACTGGGACTGTATGCCAGACTGGTGATTGTCTGCACTGTGACATCTGGTAGTTGAGCACTGAGAACATAAGTCTCCCCTGTATGAGGCTCCCAGCATCTTACTGTTGTGTCACTGACAGTACAAGCCACTGTGTTGTTCCCAGCCCACACTACAACATTGCCACTACCACTTACCTTTACTGGGACTGTATGCCAGACTGGTGATTGTCTGTACTGTGACGTCTGGTAGTTGAGCACTGAGAACATAAGTCTCCCCTGTATGAGGTTCCCAGCATCTTACTGTTGTGTCACTGACAGTGCAAGCCACTGTGTTGTTCCCAGCCCACACTACAACATTGCCAATGTCACTTACCTTTACTGGGACTGTATGCCAGACTGGTGATTGTCTGCACTGTGACATCTGGTAGTTGAGCACTGAGAACATAAGTCTCCCCTGTATGAGGTTCCCAGCATCTTACTGTTGTGTCACTGACAGTACAAGCCACTGTGTTGTTCCCAGCCCACACTACAACATTGCCACTACCACTTACCTTTACTGGGACTGTATGCCAGACTGGTGATTGTCTGCACTGTGACATCTGGTAGTTGAGCACTGAGAACATAAGTCTCCCCTGTATGAGGCTCCCAGCATCTTACTGTTGTGTCACTGACAGTGCAAGCCACTGTGTTGTTCCCAGCCCACACTACAACATTGCCACTACCACTTACCTTTACTGGCACTGTATGCCAGACTGGTGATTGTCTGCACTGTGACGTCTGGTAGTTGAGCACTGAGAACATAAGTCTCCCCTGTATGAGGCTCCCAGCATCTTACTGTTGTGTCACTGACAGTACAAGCCACTGTGTTGTTCCCAGCCCACACTACAACATTGCCACTACCACTTACCTTTACTGGGACTGTATGCCAGACTGGTGATTGTCTGCACTGTGACGTCTGGTAGTTGAGCACTGAGAACATAAGTCTCCCCTGTATGAGGCTCCCAGCATCTTACTGTTGTGTCACTGACAGTGCAAGCCACTGTGTTGTTCCCAGCCCACACTACAACATTGCCAATGTCACTCACCTTTACTGGGACTGTATGCCAGACTGGTGATTGTCTGCACTGTGACATCTGGTAGTTGAGCACTGAGAACATAAGTCTCCCCTGTATGAGGCTCCCAGCATCTTACTGTTGTGTCACTGACAGTACAAGCCACCGTGTTGTTCCCAGCCCACACTACAACATTGCCACTACCACTTACCTTTACTGGGACTGTATGCCAGACTGGTGATTGTCTGCACTGTGACGTCTGGTAGTTGAGCACTGAGAACATAAGTCTCCCCTGTATGAGGCTCCCAGCATCTTACTGTTGTGTCACTGACAGTACAAGCCACTGTGTTGTTCCCAGCCCACACTACAACATTGCCACTACCACTCACCTTTACTGGGACTGTATGCCAGACTGGTGATTGTCTGTACTGTGACGTCTGGTAGTTGAGCACTGAGAACATAAGTCTCCCCTGTATGAGGCTCCCAGCATCTTACTGTTGTGTCACTGACAGTACAAGCCACTGTGTTGTTCCCAGCCCACACTACAACATTGCCACTACCACTCAACTTGACCTAAACACATACGGTGACCATTACTATTTTACAATGCAAATTTGTAGGACACTTTCAAGAAGTTTGTTCAGCCGTAAATTTTAAAACAGTTCAAGGCAGTTATCATGTACATATAACTTTGACCTCACTAGGTGTTGTAAAGTAGACAACTACAATGGTTAAGAACAATAGCATAGAAATCAAAGGTCCACAGTACAAAGTTCAAACCCTGGAGACAAGACGATGAGGACGACAACGCAGTCTACGTTATACTTCAGGTACGTGCACATCGTTATAATCATACCGTATAATTTCAGTAGGCCAACGTATATTCAGTTATTAACTTAGTAAAAGTATAATAAATCTGGCGACGAGGTTTTAAATTGTTCAGTTCGTGTTTAAATGTTAAAATGTAAAGAAGTTTCTCCTGTTAACATTTTTAGTGCGATTTTTCAATATATTTAAATTGTCTCAAGTTTGGTTCCGCCATTTTGGAAGTTTCATTTCATTAGAAGTTCGTCCAAGTCGAAGAAGGAACAGGGTTCAAGAACTGTTACAAATAAAGTGCCGGAGAGGAGTAGTTGAGCTTCAGGTGGTTACGAGTAAATAACGGCTTTTCAAGTAGCAGTTATATCAATAACACACGCTCTAGTTTGGAGAGAAGAACTGTTATCTAGGAGCAGTTGCAGGAGCGGTAACGTACAACTGAGTAGCTAGTATTGTTCAGTAATAAGTATCCCAGTTGGTTCCAGTTGCAGACGATTGTTCGCTTCACTAGTGAACTAAAAGGGATAGTGGAGTTGAAATGGAACAAGGGTTTTGAAGGAGAAGCGGGGAAAATTCCTATGAGTCATAGTTTGCACTTTTCAAGTCTGAGTTTGTCGATTTTCATGTTTAAAAAGGAAGTGGAAAAGCACATGTGGAGAGTTGTGAAAAGTTATTCTAATGTTGAAATATGCTAGTAAAAAAGTGTTTTACAGTAAAGATTTTCAACTGTACAGTTTTAAATGCTAAATTGTGAATATTATCGCAGGCTATGGCTACCGCTAGCAAACCGATTATCGGTAAGTTGTCTGAATTTGACCCAGACGTTGAGTCGTTTGAAAATTTTTCTGAACGATTAGAAAATTTCTTCACGGTAAATTCTGTAAAGGATGCTGATAAAAAGGGCTATTTTATATCACTTATGGGGCCTAAAATGTATGCTACATTAAAAAACCTTTTGGTCCCAGATGCACCTAAAGATAAAGATTATTCTGATCTGCTTAAAGTTTTGAAGTCTCACTATGCTCCTAAGAAAAGCATTACTTATGAAAGGTTTTTGTTTAATAAAAGAAACCAAAGGGAAAATGAGGGCATTTCTGAGTATGCTGTCCAACTAAAGAAGCTAGCTGCAACTTGTAAATTCGAGACATTTTTGGAGCAAGCTCTCCGAGATAGGTTTTTATGTGGGCTTAGGTCTACGCACATTCAGAGCAAACTTTTAGCAGAGGGTGAATCGCTTACTTTTGATAAGGCGATTGAAGCGGCCTTGTTAGTCGAGAATGCGGAGCAGAATACTAGGTTCTTTCACATTGATGGTACGAAGCAGTCTGGTGAGATTAGTTTTGTGAAGAGTAATTTTAAACCTAAGAAATTTGTACAGAATTCTAAACCTAGTTTTAAGAAAGGTTTTTCTGACAAAAATGTTAGTTCAAAGGTATGCTACAGGTGCGGAAAAGAACATGATCTAAGGAATTGTCCGTATAGAGGTTATACATGTAATTTATGTAAACGTAAAGGACATCTTGCTGTTGTTTGTTTCCAGAACAAAAATAGGCTAAATGTAGGCCATGGTAAAAATAGGCCTAGCTCCAGGGTGAATTTCTGCGATGAAGAGGGCAACCAGGAGAGTTGCTCACATGTTCAACAGGAAAACATCAATCAAGAAGATGAATATCAATTAGAATTGTATACAATTGCCTACTCAAATGATAAAAGTAGGCCTAATAAATTTGTTGCCGAAATGTGTGTAAATAATGTACCTTTACAGATGGTGATCGACACAGGCGCTGTTGTTAGCGTGTTACCGGACTCTGTTTATTTTGATAAATTTAAGGATTCTGTCCCACTGCTCTCAAAAAGCAAAATATGTTTGAAGACATACACAGGTGAGAAAATTAATGTCCTTGGCGAGTTTCAGGCAGATGTAAATATTTCCAATGGGAAAAAAATGGTCCTTCCGATAGTAGTGATTGAAAGTACTTCGACCGACCAACCAATTTTAATGGGAAGAAACTGGCTAGAAGCAATGAAGCTGGATTGGAGTAAAGTAATGAAGGAATGCAAAGATGACTCTGTCGTCAACGAACTGAACGGTAAGACTGTTCTGAATTTTGCTAAGCCTAGCGTAGAGGAATTAAAGAAGCAATACGCAGGTGTTTTTGACGCTGCTTTTGGAGAAATTAAAAATGTAGAGGTGGAGTTGGTGCTCAAAGAAAATACTACTCCTGTGTTTTGCAAACCACATAATGTACCTTTCTCGTTACGTCCTGCAGTAGACAAGGAATTAGATAATTTGGTACGAAATGATGTAATATATCCGGTGACAAAAACGGATTGGGCTACTCCCATTGTAGTTGTTCCGAAAGCAGACAAATCTGTCAGAATTTGTGGGAATTTTAAGATAACGCTAAATCAGTGTATCAGAACAGATCATTACCCCTTACCGAACCCAGATGAAATATTTGCTCAAATCGGTGACGCTAAATATTTTTGTAAGCTTGATTTGGCTTCTGCCTACAACCAGGTTAAAATAAAAGAATCCTCACAAGCCCTTTTGACTATAAATACTCTAAGAGGGTTGTTTCGCTACAAGCGGCTGCCATACGGAATTTCTAGTGCAGGCTCTATATTCCAGTCTGTAATGGACAAAATCATGTCAGGGATTCAAAATGCCTATTGCTATCTTGATGATATTCTATTGATAAGTCACTCACCAGAAGAAATGGTAGTTTTAGTTCATAAGGTTCTAACTAGGCTGAGTGAGTATGGTGTAAAAATAAACGAGACTAAAAGTAAGTTCTTCCAAAAGAGTATTGTATTCCTAGGGCATCTTCTGGATGGTACAGGGATCCATCCGAGTCCAGAATTGAGTAGAGCGATTGTAGAGGCTCCAAGGCCTAATGATGTCACGCAGTTGCGTTCGTACTTAGGATTATTGAATTATTACGGCAAATTTTTGCCAAACCTGTCTACTTTGCTGTACCCCCTTCACCAGTTGTTAAATAACGGAGTTCAATGGAAGTGGAATGACAAATGTGAGGAAGCGTTTGAGAAAAGCCGAAAGTTGCTTCTACAAAACAATGTATTGATGCCATTTGATCCAAAGTTGGATATTTTAGTAACTTGTGATAGCTCACAATATGGTGTAGGTGCGGTGATGGCTCATGTTTTGCCAGATGGCTCTGAAAGGCCCATAGCCTTTGCGTCTCGGACGTTGTCCCAAAGTGAACGCAAATATGCTCAAATCGAGCGAGAAGCTCTAGCAATAGTTTTTGCTGTGAAACGGTTCCATGTTTTCTTGTATGGTCGTAAGTTCAGGCTCGTGACTGACCACAAAGCTCTAATTTTTATATTAGGACCTAACAAATCCATACCAACTCTATCAGCTGCGAGAGTACAGCGATGGGCACTTATCTTGGCAGCGTACCAATATGAACTTATCTATCGGAAAGGCTCGGAGATATCAAATGCAGATGCCTTGTCCCGACTGCCATGCAATTACGACCAGAAGGAACCTGAAGAAATCAATTTCTTTTCTACATCTTACAGTTTGCCTATAACACATAAAGAGATAGGCCTAGCATCAAAATTTGACCCAATCTTGTCAAAAGCGATGGATTACACCTTACATGGGTGGCCTAATCATGTTAGTGAGGAGTTGCAACCGTTTACTGACAAAACACATCAATTATCAGTAGAATTAAATTGCTTATTGTGGGGAACTCGAGTGGTCATACCCCCGACTCACAGAAAGGAAATTCTTAATCTACTACATTCAGAGCATCCCGGGGAATCACGGATGAAATCGTTAGCTCGTAGCTACGTTTGGTGGCCGGGTATGGATAAGGATATTCAAAGATATGTTGCAGAATGCAATATTTGTCAATCAACCAGGAAATCAGTACCAGTTGTACCTCTTCAACCGTGGACATGGCCTAGTCAAAATTGGCAACGACTACATCTTGATTTTGCAAACTTTGAAGGCAAGGATTTTCTTATTTTAGTAGATAGTCGTACTAAATGGGTTGAACTGTTTTATATGTCGTCCAACACTACATCCTTGAAGACTATAGAACGTTTGAGAACATGTTTTGCAGCCTATGGGTTACCTCAAACAATTGTAACTGATGGAGGCCCGCAGTTCACTTCAAGTGAGTTTAAGGAATTCTTGACAACAAATGGAATCCACCATGTTCTCACCCCTCCATACCACCCTGCTTCGAATGGGTTAGCTGAAAGGATGGTACAAACCGTCAAGGAAACGTTTTTAAAACAACTTCTACACGACCAGAAAAATCAACCTAATCGATCCATCCAACACAAAATAGACAATTTTCTCTTTACCTACAGAAACACTCCTCATTCTATTACTAGATGCACACCTTCAGAAATGTTTTTAAAAATGAAACCAAGAACACCATTGAGTCTTCTAAAGCCTAACTTGTCAGCAGATATGAATCGGAAACAAGAAGTAATCAAGAACAGTGCTGATAACCGTAGAGGCTCAACACGAATGTTTGAAGTAGGTGAAAACGTCTTTGTTCGCTCGGTGAGGAAGGAAAAAGTGAACTGGTTACCCGGAAAAGTAATCAAATGTATAGGCCCTGTAACCTATTTGATTAAGGAAGGAAACCGCACAAGATTTGTTCACGCTGATCTCCTAAGGAAGAATCTAACAAAAGAAGAGGAACATGAAGAGTGGCTTTTGCCTGAAATAAAAGAACCAGAAATCAGACAAACAACAGAACCTACAGAGCCTAGATCTCCTCAAAAACATTCACCTAAACATCGACAATCAATGAAATCACCACTTAGACCTTCAACAACTATATCGCCACCTAAACCTCAAGCAAATTTAGGTAGTCCAAGAAAATCACTAAATCAAAATTTCAATGATGGAAAACCTCAACAAGGGGAAGACACAGAAGCTATCAGGCAGTCCCAAAGGACTCGAAGAGCGCCTGATAAAATGAATCTATAAGAAGAAAAAAAGAGTTCCCTTCCAGGAAGATGTATTTTGTGTTTTTGTTTTATATTGGAAGGGAAATGTTTTTATAAGGTGAAGTAACCTAACAAGTTTTAATTTTTTTTTTAGAAGAATAAGTTTTCTTTTATAAGTCGGAGGGAGATGTTGTAAAGTAGACAACTACAATGGTTAAGAACAATAGCATAGAAATCAAAGGTCCACAGTACAAAGTTCAAACCCTGGAGACAAGACGATGAGGACGACAACGCAGTCTACGTTATACTTCAGGTACGTGCACATCGTTATAATCATACCGTATAATTTCAGTAGGCCAACGTATATTCAGTTATTAACTTAGTAAAAGTATAATACTAGGAATCAAGATTTCCACCACAGAGAAGTAAGGTTACAGAGGAAACACAACATGGTATGTTGTGTCAGTAAGTTGTATTTACCGTTGTGACTTCACTCAAGGTTCCGTTGGATTCAGCCGAGTAGTAACTGAGGTTGAGTCCCAGGCCCACAACTATCAGGCCGTCCTCGGAGTCGTGGTACAGCAATTTCTCAATTCTCCCTGGCAACTGTAACACTTCCTGGCCTTTGCCCGTTTCATTGACGTACAAGACAATTCCTGGAATATAAAAAGATTGTGGATTGAAATATTTACAACCCACATCCTTAGCGATCAAACAATGAATATCATTCTCCATCGATAAAACAAACTCAAATTGAGTTTAATTGAGTCAATTTGAGCATAGAATTGTCTGCATAACAGCGACAACATGTCTTAACTTATAAGAACAAAAACTTATCCTGTAGGATTTAAAAAATAGCATACAAGGCAAATATCTACTTTCAGATTTTTGGATTACCTATAACAGATTTCCCCCATAAGAACAACATGGTAATTTTAGATGTAGGCTTTAGTTTTTTTTTTATTTCATTTTATGTGTAACCTTCAATAATTGATAGAAAAGTGCTTCAATATGTACATCTTACTGTTTACAATGTACATCTGATTTTGATACAAATGGCCATAACAGTAAGTAAGTAACATATCCTACACTAACCTTTTGTTGAAACAGTTAGTCACAAACAGTTAGATTTGAAAAAAAAACAATCTGTTGTAATTTACTTGATCTACTAGCCTAATGGTTTGGTGCAAGGGGGTTAGGTACACGTTCCCTGGCATGTACAAAAAGTTAGAGAGAAGTATGCCAATATCATCCATAAAATCCGCCACTAGCGTAAAGACTAAAATAAAATCACGAATGTCTACCTTGGGCAGTAGCCACGTAGAGCGCCAAGTTGTCCTGATGTACAGACACATGTCTGCCAGCTGTGCGTGGCCTCCAAGCACTGAACATGTCCAATGCCATCTAGATAACATCTCCGTGTTAGTAATCAAGTAGGTAATCATGGTGTGTAAAGTGTAGATATTGAAATGAAGTACAAATAAAAGCCTAGATATTTTCAGTAGTAAAAAACGAGTTCTGCATATTTAACCCTCCGAGTGTCCATAGTTTAGGCCTTAATGTCCACCTATTTTTGGCCCCTTTGCAAGGTTTTATTAAAACGGATCTGAGAAGCTTAAAACAATGTTAATTCTAATGTTCTATATACCATTTTGTTTGGAAAATCATGGGCTTCAATATTATATATAAAACATAAGGAACATTTAAAAAAAAAAAAATTTTTAGGTAAAAAAAAATATAATTTCGAAAATTTTCAAAAAAAAAATAAGTTCGCGCTCAATGAAATTGTATAAATTATACGCCTATAAATATTTGAAAATAGCCACTTTGTTCTAAATTTAATGAGGATTACAAATATATAATCATATAGCGAGGTAAGTTATCAAATAAATAAGTTATGAGCGAAAAACGGATTTCAGTACATAGCGTTTAGCTAAGAATGCATAGCCTAACCATAGCTAGGAATCTGGCTGATAATTTACATCAATATCACTACCTACTTCTTCAGGATCATCAACCAGCACTTCAAAACCACTTAAATCTTCTTATAATGCACCACGTATATCACTACTTTTGATTTTTAACACTAAAACAATGATAAACGTAATAAAACACATCAGTCATCGGTCCGGGGGAACCTAGCTGTTTACAAATACACGCACGTCAGCTGTCTGCTACAATATTTTCGGAACTAAAATGAATAGCGCTTAGAGACAGGCCTCTGGAGAAAGCTTAGAATATTACGGAAAGAACGATACCTAACTCGATCCAGTTCAATCCGATTCAGTCAGTCATAGAGCCTTCGCCGTAAACGATGTTTGTGCGTCTTAAACTCGACGCGTGACCCTACACAAAGTGTGTTGTGCGTCTATTTTTTGACGCGTGACCCTCGGAGGGTTAATACTTTTTCAAATTATTTTTATTAGGCCTACCTACAGTTGAGTTTCGATTATAATCTGGCATCAGTACGGTCTGATAAGCATTACATGTAAAGAATAGCCTATAAAAAATAAAATAAACCATTGTAACCATGTTTAGAAATAATTCAATTGATGCAGCTTCTGTTTTCAAACTTGTTCAAGGCTTGAAATTGGTTTTCCATGGAAAGGACTGAACAACAAAGGAAAAATACCACTATTAAAACTGTAAAATATTAGATGAAGCAATTCTAGACAACCCAGCTATAGATCTATGTTTATGTGGTATGTTGTGTACGATTAAATAATTAGGAAATAGTCAATTGCGAGTACCTAGCCTAGCACATATCTCCCAAGTATAGAGAGGGTCGACTTACCTGCTAGGGAGTACAGTCAGAATACTTGGGTATATTACACCATTTCTGGTTTCTTTAATGTTTGCAGGATGATTAGATAACATGGACGGTTAACTAACCGGAAAATTGGGTAAATAAAACTCTACTGTATCCAACAACTTAAAACCGGGTTTTCCTAGGCGCGGAAGTGGAGCAAGGAGAGAGGAACACGGAGAGCGGACTCCTCTTGTCTTAAGTAATTTAATGTTACTGATTTCCTAGAAGCGGAGCGGAATGCCATGTTAATCGCTTTTCCGCTCTCCGCGATCTTCTTCCGCGTCTAGGAAAACCCGACTTAAAACAATCATTTTCTATTAGGCCCTAATTTTTCAGTAGGTATATAATGAGAAAGAATATTGATTTCCCCCTTGAGTTAAGATTCGATTAGAAATTAGTGTGATGAAGTAATATAGTATAGAAAATATAGTTGATTATTATTCTTTTTGTTATTCCCAGATAGTGCTATTCAACAATGTGGCTGAAAATACAATAGTTGAGTAAAATTTTTAATATCAGGAAATATTAATTTAGCATTAGGTGCGAGTTTTTTTTTTCTTTCAACTATAGGATATATAGATATGATGGTAAAAATCCAATAGCACTAGCCTAGATAACTTTATCTCTCAGCAAAGTATTCAAAGCAAATAATGTGACAGAAAACAAGTGAAGTTTTACTACAATTTCTTTCTCATGAGAGTATTATTCAGTTATTGATTTATGGTCTGTAACAGTGAACAAACAATAGTTAGGATTACCTGATCTCCAGCAACAGCTCTCCGTGCCAATCCCGACAGGTCTGGTCCAGGACGAGAAACTCGGAAAACAGCATCACAAGGAATGCTAGGTAACGCCAACTGATAGACTGACTGCAGCTGACAACGTGAATCTAGTCTCCAACCCACCATGAGTCCACTCTGGTGACGGAAACCGTAATCAAATCAGATAGAAAATTCCTTGGGCCTACTTATTTCATGCAGATTTGTACTAAATAACGTCAGTTATTAAGTTAAAATAGGCCTACATCAGTATTCTAACCTTGACTATTTAACATCATTGTCCTCATACATACTTTTAGTTTGTTGTGAACAGAGGTGGAAAAACTCTAAAGAATAAATTAATTATTATATTATCTGTGGTTAATAATATTGTTTTTTCTCTACAAAAAAGTCATCTTCCAGATTTATATATGTTTATATAAATGGTGTTATTTCTTGGCAAATTGTAATAAGTATATACCGCATCCACAGAGACCAGCCGTCCGCCCATCTTGCTCCATTTGAGCACCAGGACGGGTGTGGTGTGAGGCGACGACATCGCCGCAAAGTCTCTCTCTCCATTCCACACACGGAGACTTCCGTCTTCCCATCCAGCCACCAGAGTCTTGCGTACTGGGTGCCACGCAAGTCCCAGTGCCTGGCACGACGGTACGCACACTGGCTGCACATCTGGCACTATCTCTCCCTGTCACAACAGGAAATTTGATAAAATAACATCTTTCTTCAAATAAAAGTGCATTATACATAGGCCTAATTTTTTTTTATTAAATTGTACTTACTGGTCAAATAAACAGTTAACACAACAAAGAAAAAGTAAGGTTTTTATTATTCCTTTGACAAAACATAATTAGGCCTAGTACCTATATTTCATTACCAGGGCATAAAGTGACTCTTTTTGACCCAAGTCAAGTTTTATGATCGAGGTGAAGCCGAGGTCGGAAAATGAGCGAGGTTTAATAAGACACTTTAAGCTCATGTGGTAAACTATATTTATCGTATTGCATCATTAATTAACAAACTAAGCTAGAAAACAAAATAATTTTCATGAAAATATAACCTCTCAAAACGACTTCCAGCTTGTTTTCAGTTCTGCCAAAGCAAATAAGCAGCTGTCAGCTTAAAAGATTCAATCAATTTGTCTATTACCGATGTGTTAGGTACAGTACATTATACCATCGACATGTCGAACGATCCACAAACAATAGGCTAACTCCTTAAATAATAAATAAATCGATAGATAATTTTGATCGATACAATTGCCACAATCAAAATCTACAACTGTTTAAAACAGCTGGTTTTTACTCCCTAGAGAGTAAAAATGCTACTTTAGACCCGCAACGCATGTATTAAAAACGGCTGTTTTTGCTGCAGTATGACGAAAGCATTTTAATAGCATAGAAAAACAAACCAAAATAAACACAAATAAAACAGGTTTTTATAAGGCCAATGACATTCAAAAGTTTAGAACAGAATCATCTTCTTTGGTAACTTTTTCAGTTCACTGTTGATAGTCCACCATTTGACAACATGAATGAGTTGCTGAGAGATAGGTAGATCGCCTGTTAGTTTATAATGTTCAATCTTATGGGGTAGACTTCTGTATCTGTTCCTGTTGGCACAAACATATAGCCTATAGGCCTTACGATCGATATTTTCATTCGGTTGTTTTTGCCAACAGATACGGAAGTCTACCCCTTATATGTACATAAACTTAGGCTGCTAGATGTACATCATGTGCATCTAACATAAAAAAAAAAACAAAATAACAACTAAAACTTACTTGATCATTGCATATATTGACACAGCCACCCTGCTCAATACTGTAGGATGCAATGGCTAAGAAAGGGTGTTGTGGATGCCATTCCACTGCAGTTGTAGTAGAGCTTATATCTTCTATCTTTACTCGATAATCAAAATAGAGCGTCATTTATCTAAAAAAACATAAATGTTAGGCTATCCAAGTGTACCTAAATACTCAGGGTGAACGTACATTATATTGTTAATTCTCCGACTTCTATGGTAACCTAGCATAGAGGTTGAATTAAACACAGTGTGGGATGTTTGTTTATAAGTGTGTGGGATATTAGTATTGTAGGAAGGCCTATTTTATAAGTATGTACAATAGTTTGAATACTTCTTCAGGTGTGTAAATGAGTGAAGAGTAATGTGATAAGTAAATTAAACATTAAGTTACCTATTATTCTCATCAAACATTAGTGATAAGTGTGATGTGAGTAACTTAGCAATAACTAAGCACTCACTGGGCACTCCTTAGTGCAATTTCTGAAGAGGAAGGAGATAGATATGTTGGCGAGTTGTCGACTTGCAAGCATCCAGTACAGTAACTCCAGTATTGATTCCAAACTATTAGAAAGAGAAATATACGACCAAATCATAAATCACCTAGAAACAAACAACCTACTCACAAACTGTCAACATGGCTTCCGGAAGAAACGAGGAACAAATACCGCAATTGCAGAACTCTGCGAAGACATAACAAGTATTTGGGAAGACAGAAAAAATGCATCGGGACTTTTCTTAGACCTTCAAAAAGCGTTTGACTCATTGGACTGGGATATACTTCTACAAAAGCTAAAAAAAGTACATATTGAAGGAGAAGCATTGGCACTAATAAAAAACTATCTTGACCATAGGTACCAATATGTTGAAACCGATCAGCAAGTGAACAACATAATTATAACAACCAAATCACCACTTAAACAGAATACAAAAGGCATTCCTCAAGGCTCCATACTTGGCCCACTTTTCCTCCTGATATATATAAATGATGTACCGGAAAAATTATCAAAAGAATTCAAATGTATTCTATTTGCAGATGATACCACCATAATAATACCTACAGATAGAAATAAAAATAACCAACAACTCATAACCACAGCAGTAAGTTAGAACAAGCAACAACAATATGCAACAACCTAAATTTAAAACTTAATACCAGTAAAACTACACACATTAATTTCAAACCAAGCAACAACCTAGAAGATCAAAGCGACTGGACCAACATCAGTATCACAACGCAAGAAACCACTAAATTCCTGGGAATAATTGTTGATAAAAATTTATCCTGGCAGCAACACATCGAACATCTGTGTAAAAAACTGGCCTCTGCACACTATGGCATCAAACGAATCCGCACCATAACCGACGAAGAAACCTCCAGAATAGCCTACTTCTCGCTTTTTGCTTCTCACCTGAGTTACGGAATTGCAACATGGGGATCATCATCTGCAAACAATATGGACAAACTACTTATCCTACAAAAGAAAGTACTACGGACGATATGCAGGACACACTATCTGGAACATTGTAGACCCCTATTCATCCAGCTCAAAATCCCCACCGTTTTCTCACAATACATCCTAGAAACCATAATCCTAGCAAAAAAATCCAATCCAACACTCCGGTCACATTATCATAATCACAACACCAGACACAAAAACAATATAAACCTGCCACAACACAGACTAAAAAAATTCAGCAACACCCCAAACATACACAGGATCTAAATACATAAATCTTCTGCCAGAAAAAATTAAAAACATTTCAAATCATACCACATTTGTAAAGACACTAAAAAACTACCTTATAAACAAACCCTATTACTCAACGAAGGAATACATACAAGAACACACTTACACACACCTACACTGGGCTAGCTGAAAGGCTGCCAAGAAGATGAAGAAGGAGAAATTTTGACGATTCCCCGATCTGAGGATTGTGGTGAAGAAAGAAGATGTAAAAGGTAAAAGGTAAAAGTACATATCCTGCAAATGCAAAGTCAATAGGCTCAAGATTAAAGTCTAACCTAAGCTAATGAAGTACGATAATGGACAAAATTGTAATTAAGTTTACCTGGCAAATATTGATATAAAATTAACCTAGTAGACTAATAGTCATGAAATTGCATTGTTCATAAAAAATTAAATTGCGATACTGTACTACGACAAATTTACTAATCGTGTGAGAGGTGTGACACTAAACTTGTATAAGTTGTCAGCTTTACTTTCAACTTTTGACATGTCGTGTGTAAACAAACAAACATAAAGAATGTTATGTTATGTTGTTATAGCAACGCATAGAGTAAGAGTATACCTTACTAGACTGTGTAATTTCGATATAGGTGGCCGTGATAGATTCCAGGATTAGCGTAGATTAAAGATTAATTTACTTCTTTAATTTATGATTATAAGCTATTCAAATTCTAATACCCATACACCCATACCTGCAGTCAATATTTATTTTATAATACATACCAATAGACATCTCCAGTATTTTAGACTAGAGACATGATAATACATTTCTCCTAAATATCTGTAACAATACCAAGTAGATGAAGATAATCTGATTTTTTTAAACACATAAACAACATGGATGTCAGCAACAAAATAAGTCTAAGTTTCCAGAAAATAGTAGAAAAATTACCAAGGCATAGTTAAGATAAAGCTTGGAATATTGTGAGAGCTAGATATTATAATCTATATGGGTATTTATGTGATCAATAACAATTATATTTATTCGGAATTAAATGTACAGTACTTGGAACCACGAAATGATAATTAACAGCTGTTTCTAAGGAATATGTTGGCCTTAGTCACTAACAAGACTACAAGATCGCGCCACTCATCCTACACTCATCTCCATCACGGCCACCTAGCAAGGCCCCACACTAGTTTTTCTAGGGGGGGGGGCCTTCACCTAGGCAGCCGGGTATCTATTCATACTTGGCTTCAAATACCTACTTTTTATGGTCGCCATTTTGTTTGAAAAGAATTAAAAAGTATAAAGAGTATTCTCATTTCATCATTCTCACGTGGTCATTGTTTTTTTTTAATTTTTAGCGAATTTCCCTATTGGGAAGTAGCATGGCCACCAAAAAATCACTCGATAGTCTTATTTTTTTACATGGTGGAAGACCATGATTTTTTCTATCTATGCTATAAAGTATTCGTTATTATATCACGGATATCATAATATTATGCATATAATTATCATATACATATCACGGAGGAGATACCTCCCCCCCACCATCACTTTCCGTATGGTTGGCAATGTTGTTGGTTGAATCATCTAATCAAAGTTCTCATTATTATTCTTCTGCTTCTCTGAAAATTCCATTGTAGACTCTGACATTTTGTCTTTGACTAGTTCTTTTCAGCCAGGTTAGTTTATGATTTAGATTATTTTTGTTGTATTTTAATTTATATTTTTCACATTTCTTCAATTTTTACAACAATGAATCAGTGTTTATGATAGAGAACTTGTAAATTTTTACGCAATTGATTCACCCTACACAAAGAAGTAGGGCCATATTGACAGATTAGATAAGTTTACACCATACTTACAAGGCCCATAAGAATGGAGGGTGAAAGCCATTCAATGCGATTATGTTCATCGGGATGTGGTTTCTTTGGAAGCCCAGCTACAGATGGAATGTGTTCCAAGTGCTTTAAGGATTCATTGAAGAAGAAACAGCAGTCACCAGATGTAAATGTATCATCCTCACCATCTCCTGCTCCAAACTCAAGTTTAACAGACACTGGCAAGGAGCCTACCCCTAAGACGCCTACTAAATCTACAATAGATTCTTCTATTTCCAAAGATACCGAGGAAGGTGCTACAGCTGGCACCTCAATGGCCCTCAGCAGTGAAGAGGCTGGCGGAAGTAATGAAAACAAAAGTGACTCGGAAGTATTGAAGAAGAAAAACCGTTGTGCCCTGTGCCGTAAAAAGGTAGGACTTACAGGCTTTGACTGTCGTTGTGGTGGTCTATATTGTTCAGCACACCGCTATTCCGATAAACATGATTGCAAATTTGACTACCGTGAGCTTGGAGTACAAGAAATTCGCCGCAAAAATCCAGTTGTTACCGGACAAAAGATCCAAAAGATTTGAAACAATTTCCACAAATCCACAAGGTGTTGTATATAGGCCTAAATGTTGATTTTAAAGACTCTTTTTGTTACTACGGGTACCTATTCATATTATAACCGACTTGGAACTTTAATAGAGTTTTTTGATTCACTAAGTGTCTATATGGACTCTTTTATATTGATTGTAAATTAGTTCTAGATTAATGTGGTCATAACCAAGATTATTCATCATTAAATCTGGTTGATGACTTCCCTAGTGCGGTAACATGTGTTAGAACCGATAGACCAAACTTAAGTTAGGCTACATCATGTTACTCTCAGTCGCAATAGACATTTTAATCTTACTTGAAGATTTTTCCTTTGTAAATAATTTGTACCTAGCCAATAATGTTTTTTGAGTTCTTAAGTTGAAGCTAACTTATAGGACCCTAGCCTAGTTTTCTGTGCTATCACACAATAATCACTTGTCAAATTTGCATTAGGCCCTAACTTACTACCGTACACCAAAGCCTAATGTGGTTTATGATCGATGTAAATTTTAACTTGTACCAGAGACCCAGTTTTCCGTTGGATTATCATTTTTTTACTGTAACCGATGACTCAACGCAAATCTAAGTAAGTTATGAAACCTTCTCTCAAGTAATAGATTCACTAGCTTAAATTATGTTTGATGTTCATTTCAACTCTGGTTTAAATTTTACGTTGTGGCCAACAAATAATTTGCAATAGCCTAGATTGAGTGGTTACAGTGCAGGGTACAATGCTTACTGGTACCGACACAGGTAAAATAATTGTAAAGTACACATTTCATTAATGTTAGTAAGACGAAGACTTGTAACTTACCTAATAATATGTTTTTTTACATTATTTTTTTGTTATTTGAATGAAATTGTAATTATAATCAAAGGATTTTTGTACATAGGTAGTAATCCACAAAAAAATAAGTTAAACATTTTTTTCAATATTTGGCAACTCCATAAGTTAATAGTAAATGTTTGTTTTGAGTGTTTTAAGGCCTATATAGACTAGTGTGGTCATATTTTGCAGTTTAAGACATATATACTTATTTTTTTATCATTGTTTATAATTTTTATTTTAGTTGACAGAACATTGAGTTAAGGTGTTACCATATTCTTCTTATTTGTTCGTTGGCCTTGCCTGGAGAGTGTTTGGCAATTTGTTGTTTATTTACTTAGAATAAATTGATATGTAAAAATTATGTTATTATTATTGCCTTAAGTCAATCTTAGTTAAAACTATTAAGCATAGCTAAATAAAAAATACGAGAAATGTTTGAAGCAGGGCCGCAAAGTATGCAGCATTATCCAAGCACCGTTTACCAACAAGTGAGTGACTAAATTGAGTACGTTTTCACTCTCCGATCAGTCTGTTTGTTTCTATGGTGTACGTAAAAGACTGACGTGAAGCAGGAAACGACAAGCACTGCTGTTTGTCAAATTACGAGTAGACAGATACCCATCGACACTAGTCGTTTAAAAAGCTGCTTCGGTGCTTGGTGAATGCAGCATGTGCGGATGCGCCTTTTTAAATAAAATAAAATACATCTGGTCTCATCTATAATCAGCATTTGGTGCCTTTGACTTAACTTGTCTTTAAGTTATATAAACTAAAAAATTATAGCCTACGTTAAAAATAACTAAATAGCCTAAGGATTTAATAAAAGAGACTTTAAACAAAGAGATTCATGGAATGTAAATGCAATATAAAATCCAAGACTACAAACTTAATAATTTATGTAGTCTATAGTCTTTTATATAGCCTATAGTAATTTTTTTATTTGATGACTCCATACTGCCATTGTGGGCAGGCCTATTTTGTATTTACGGCTGCGCTTACATTGTAGGCACGCTTATAGGGCAAGTTAAATGGTGGCTCATGCTTGCGGAAGCGTGTCGTTGCTGATGTTGTGGTTATACTAGAGCAGAGCAACCAAGAACAAGTGGTCGCTCCCCCCACCACTAAACGCAGTAGGCCTACATCACGGATCAGTCAAAGTGGAGATATCAGATGATGAGGACATTGTGCTTGAAAATGGAGTTAAACTTACATATCCGAAAGAGCTAAAGGGGAACGGGAAACTGTAGGAGTCGATGTAATGTTAACTGGTATAATTATTTTATACATCATAACTATAGGCCTACTAACTAAAAGAGTATAATTTTAATAAGCCTAGAGGAGCTTAGTTTTTTTATCATAGCATTATTACAGGTCTATTCTGGCAGGAAAATCAATTCAATATAACCTAGATATTATTTTGGTTGACAAGTTAAAATCCATTTGCAAATAGCGTTTAAATAAAGATAGTGCAGTAACTATAAAACATTTATAAAAGCAGAACTGCATCAATCCAGGCCTCAGTCGAAACGGCACACGGAAGATTTCTCAGGTGCCGTTTGACGTCACTAACTGCTGACGTCACTTTGAGGGAACACCAATACCGCAACGATACGGTTACAGCCATCGGCCTCGGTGGTGCAGTGGATAGAGTAGCGGGCTGATAATCCGTATGTTCCGGGTTCGAATCCCGCCGGCGGCACTAACTTTTTATCAACATTTTTTTCATATCAGCAAGTTTGGTTGGTTTGGTTATGTTATGACAGTTTAATTTTATAATTAAAAAATCATAAAATTGAATTTTGGGCAATTATAATTTTATTTTATGAACAAAACTATTTTTTAGATTAGTAAACCTTTATTCGATTTTTCCATTATCAGCACGTTTGGTTAGGTTATGACAGTTTAATTTAATAATAGAAAATTATAAAATTGTCTGTTTCTTCAGACGCAGCAGTTAGTGACGTCAGCAGTTAGTGACGTCAAACGGCACCTGAGAAATCTTCCGTGTGCCCCACCGGGCCTCAGTATCCATGTTGTGTGCTGTTTGGTATTTTTATAATTGCTATCATATGTTGCATATTTGATGTTTGTTTTTATTGTATTGTTGTTTTGAGCTTGAAGACTTACTTTTGGGATCTTGGCTAATAAAGTATCTATGTTTAACTGTGGTGTGAGTTTTACCTTTCACTTCATGGTGTCAGGTTAAATAAACTTTTGTGGAGAAGAAAGAACTAAGCATGGCTGAAGCAGTGAGTAGTACAATTAGTACAGTTCAATACCAACTTGTCACACCTGAACCTTTCAATTTCAGGGAACCTTCTGAATGGCCTAGATGGATAAGAAAATTTGAAAGGTTTAGATTAGCTTCAGGATTAGACAGTAAGAGTGGGGAAAATCAGGTTAATATGCTTTTATACTGTCTAGGAGATGAAGGAGAAGACCTTCTAACATCTTTCGGATTAAAAGATGAAGAATTACAGAGTTATGACACTGTCAAGGGTAGATTTGAGTCTTACTTAGGTTTCAAAATCAATATTGTATATGAGAGAGCTAAATTTCTAAAAAGACGTCAGTCTGAGGAGGAACCTGTTGATTCTTTTATAAATAGTTTACACAAACTGGCAGAGCGATGTAAACTTGGGGAATTAAAAGATGAACTAATTAGAGATTTGATAGTAATTGGGGTAAATGATGATAAACTTTCTCAAAATTTACAGTTGGATGAAAAATTAACTTTAAGTACAGCAATTTTGAAAGCAAGACAAGCAGAGAGTTTAAAACAACAACAAAAAGTAGTGAGGGAATCACCAGAAATTGAGTTTGTCAATAAGGGGATTAATCAATCCACTAAACATCGGTTTAGGGACAGTTCTTGCAATAAAAGTCAAGATCAAAGCTTTTCAAAGAAAGGTAAATGTAACAAATGTGGATTTGTTGGTCATCACAATAGCAATGATTGTCCTGCCAATCAGTCTACATGTTTCAGATGTGGAATAAAGGGACACTATGTGAGATGTTGTACCAAAGGATTTGAAGTGAGAGAAATTAATAAAAGTAATGAACCATTAGAAAAACCTAAAACCTATTTAGGGGAATTGACCATAGAAGAGGTTGGAGGACAAAATCCTTGTAAAGTAAAACTTAATGTCAAGGGGCATGATATTTATTTTAAGTTAGACACTGGAGCAGATGTTTCTATAATTGGATATGATCTTTGCAAGGAATTAAAACTGGAAACGAGTGAAACAAGTAAAATATTATTTGGTCCGGGGAAAACTAGGTTGAAAGTGGTTGGTAAGATCGTTGCTACTTTGGTTTTTAGAAATAAATCTATTGTAGAAGATATTTACGTCATTGAGCAACAACCTACTCCACTTTTAAGTAGAAATGCAATGTTGAAATTAAACCTAATTCAGTTCAACATAGATTCGATTTTCTCTAACCAAATATTTTCTCAGTTTTCTGATGTTTTTGGTTCTATTGGTGAAATGAAAGGGGAAAACTACAGAATTGCACTAACACAAAATGCTCGTCCCTTTGCTGTGGCAGCCCCTCGTAGAGTGTCCGCTCCATTATTGAGCAAAGTCAAAGAAGAATTGGATCGACTGCATTCTGAGGGAATAATTGAGCCAGTGGTAGAACCAACAGACTGGTGTGCACCAATTGTTGTTGTACCGCGTAAGACAGGTGATAGAGTGAGGCTATGTGTTGATTATACCGAACTCAACAAAAGCATTCAGAGAGAAAGGTGGCAACTACCAACTGTAGAAGAAAGTCTAAGTAAATTAGAAGGCGGACAAATATTTTCATTACTAGACGCTACAAATGGATTTCTTCAAGTTCCCTTACATCATGAAAGTTACAAGCTTACGACTTTTATAACTCCTTTTGGGCGATTCTTTTTCAAGAGGTTACCATTCGGTATTAATTCTGGCCCAGAGGTTTACCAGAAGAGGATATACCAAGTTTTGGATGGACTGGATGGGGTAGTAAACCAAGCAGATGATATACTTGTGGTCGGTAGAACACAGGAAGAACATGACCATCGACTAGCAAATGTATTACAAAGATTGAGAGAACACAATGTTACACTTAATAAAGATAAATGTAACATTAATGTGAACAGAGTTAAATTTCTAGGACATTTGATTGAAAATGGATTGATAAAGCCTGATCCTGAGAAAGTGGAGGCCATTATGAAAATGCAAACCCCAAATAATGTTAACGAGCTTCGGCAATTTCTTGGCATGGTTAATTATTTGATGAAGTTTATTCCTAACTTGGCTGAAGTTACAGCTCCATTGCGAATTTTACTTAAGAAAGGTTATCAGTGGGTTTGGTCTGACGTTCAAAAGAGTGCTTGGGATAAAATTAAATCCCTAATTTCTTCAAATCCAGTTCTGGTGTCTTACAACAAAAATCGTAAAACCAGAGTTGCAGCTGATGCCTCGTCATTTGGCCTAGGAGGGGTGATTGAACAATTTGTGGATGGAAAGTGGAAACCAATCACCTATGCATCGAGATCTTTATCACCGACAGAGATGCGTTATGCTCAGATAGAAAAGGAGGCACTGGCACTGACTTGGGCATGTGAGAGATTTTCACAGTATGTTTTAGGAACCGAGTTTGAACTTATGACTGACCATAAACCTTTAGTTCAGGTGCTTGGAAGTAAACAAATCGCTAGTTTATCGGCAAGACTTCAGCGGTTAAGAATGAGAATGGCTTGTTTTAGATATAAAGTAACATATGTGAAAGGAAAGGAATTTTATGTACCAGATGTTTTGTCTAGGAACCCCATTAAGTCAAATGAAGAACATGAAGACATATTGGAACAAGATTTGTTTGTTCAGAGTATTTTAGATGCTATTCCTTGTTCTGACAAAAGGCTCAAGGAAATCAAAGAAGCTCAGGATACTGATGAGGAATGCGGAAGAATTAAATCCTGGATTGTGAATAACAATTGGAATAAAAATTCGGTGTATTGGAAGTACAGGACTGATCTAAACATCAGTAAAGGATTCCTCCTTTTAGGCACAAGACTGTTTATTCCAAAATCGTTGAGAAAGGAAATACTGAGTAAAATACATGAAGGTCACATGGGAATTGTCAAATGTCGAAGGCGAGTGTATGAATCGGTGTGGTGGCCTGGCTGCTCAACAGATATTGCTACACTTGTAACAAATTGTCCAGTTTGCTTGGAGCAAAGAAGTAACAAATCAGAACTATTACTGTTGACTGAACTACCAAAAAATCCCTGGGAGTCTTTAGGTATTGATCTTTTGAAATGTAATGCAAAATGGTATTTAGTTGTGCAAGATTACTATTCTAGATTTCTTGAACTGGTTTATGTGGATGCATTGACTACTGGAGCTGTGGTTGCTAGATTGAAAAATATATTTGCTCGACATGGAGTACCATATGTGGTAAGAGCTGATGGAGGTCCGCAATTTACTTCTCAGGATTTTAAAAATTTTGCTGAAGAATATGGTTTCCGTATAGTGACATCAAGCCCAAGGTATCCACAATCAAACGGAGAAGCAGAAAAAGCAGTTGACATAGCGAAGCGGATTCTAACGAAATGTAGTGATCCAAATCTTGGATTGTTAGAATATAGAAATACACCCTTAGAGTCTGGTCTTTCACCTGCAGAGTTACTTTATTCACGGAAGCTCCGATCAACATTACCGTCAATAAATAACTTCAGACAGGTAACAAGGGAAAGATTGCAAAAGTTTAAAGAGAAGGATTTTTCAATCAAGGAAAGAAATAAGAGAAACTACGATGTAAGGAAAGGTGTAAGAGATCTTTCACAGCTTGATCAAAATGACAAAGTTTGGATTCCAGATTTAAAACGTTATGGACATGTTGAGAATAAATCAAATCATCCTCGGTCCTACCTGATAAATACACAGGCAGGGAAGATCAGAAGGAACAGGAGACATATAATAGCTGTGCATAGGCCTATTGAAAATGGTGGAAATAGATTTGAACACCAATACCAAGAAGACCAAGGAACTGAAACTGATGCTGGACATAATTACAATAGCAATGAAAATGACAGACCTAAAAGAAGTGTAAAACCACCTCTTAGATACAGTGATTCAGATTTTTACAAATAAACTAAAAAAAAGAGAAAAGAGAAGATGTGCTGTTTGGTATTTTTATAATTGCTATCATATGTTGCATATTTGATGTTTGTTTTTATTGTATTGTTGTTTTGAGCTTGAAGACTTACTTTTGGGATCTTGGCTAATAAAGTATCTATGTTTAACTGTGGTGTGAGTTTTACCTTTCACTTCATGTTGAACAATTTAAAAACATATAACAACATTTAAATACCCCCGCCGCAGCAAACCTGCAGACTAAGCGAATTTCCATTTGACTGATTGGATTTACACTGAAATGTCTACTTAAAAATAAATATAACATTTATTCTTGATTTAAATAGAATTAGTTTAACAAGTACTTAGGTTTGCTGCATCAGGGAGGGTAAAACTGTTTTTTTTTGTAAAATGTGAATAGTTAGTAAGGAATAAAAACATTTTCCAAATTTGATCAAAATATGTTCACAAACAAGCAAACTACAACAACAGTTTACTTATTCTCCATAAGAATAACATGGGAATTTTAAATTTACAATTTTTTGGAATTTTCTCCGTAACCATTAGGCGCATAATAACGCTTCAATATACTAAATTATTTGTTTTTTTAAGCTCTACAAAATGGTTTGGAAAGAAATTGCTAAATTTTATGTTTTTTGGGTTAAAAATGGGAAAAACCTATTTTTACCCCATAAAACCCCCCGTAAACCCCCGTTCCCATGGTCCGATCATGCTGGATCGCGAACTCGTTCAAATAAATGTACGTTTACACGTTTGTACCAAATTTCATCAAAATCGGATCATTTTTGCTCGAGTTATCGCGCTGACGGACACATATATATATATATATATATAAATATATATATATATATGAATTTGAACGGATGGTGTTTTTGGCCTCTAGGGACCTCAAAACGAAAAAAAAATTCGGTCCCGCGTCCAGGTCTTACCATGAGTACTACGGTAATAGCTTATTCCCTATATGGGAAATTCGCTAATAAAAAAGAACAACAGGTTTCAGATGTAACCAGGGAGATGCTACTTTGTCAGTGAACCACAAAAACTGAGGCACGCTTAAAAAAACAAATTTTCTTTAGTGATTTGAGAGGCGCAAGCTTGTCCCTGCGTGCACTTTGCTGGTGGTCAGCATCGTAATCACGACTTTGCAAGACGCCGCAGGTTTACAGTAATCTGTTACAATTTTGTTTCAAAGGGCAAGCTTGGCCAAGCGTGCGTCACCATTTTACTTGCCCGAGCGTGCCTCCAATTTAAACGCAGCCTAACAAGCATTAGAAAGTCCCATTAGCTACATACATAGAGTAGGCTGAATTTCCTACCTTAATGTTAACTGGCACATTTACTTATGGTACGAAAGTTCAAGTAAAGAGTTGGATCTAGTGTTTAATGAGGATGGGAATCTTTTCTAAAAGCCAAGTCTCATAATTTTATACATTACATTTACAAAGACATTGGAGCTACAATATATCATTGGAAAGCAACTCTTGGCTTTTACCAACTTTAACAACTTTTTTTTACAATCTTCAACATAGGGGAGCGGCGAGGTTATAGTGTGTCGTAGAGAGTATGTTTTATTACTCCCAAGGCTAGCAGCACTTCATATGCACATAGTAGAGCTGAGACGGTAGCAAGTCAAGAGGCTGAATAGCCTACAGTACTTGGAATACACAGTGCCTAGTCATTAATCTTGCACCTAATTCCTCCTAATATGACGGCCCAATTTACTAGTCTTGTTTTTATCTGATTAAGTGTAAAGCTGAGCTTATGGTGAAAACAGTAAAATACTGTGCAGTCCTACAGCAACCGTTCCGAGAACTTTCGGTCAGGCGACCCAACTACATCCTCGGCATTTATTTGCTTAGAGTTCCAGGGTATGAAGTTAAATAATGTATTTAAATACCATTTATGATTTAGGTAAAGATCAAAATACCATTTTCCAAAAACAAGTATTTATTTACAAATATGTAAATACTGTAGGTTTAAAATTAAAAAAATAAACATCCTACTACTAAAAGCAAAACTACTAACTGAATTAAAGTAAATACATATCTACTACCTAAAGCTAAATTTGGATATGAAACATATCATCTATTTATATTTTAAATTTAGTTTTTATTACTAATACACATTAATCTTACTTATCATTGGTAATTCTTGTCCAGTAAAACTAGAACTTGCTTGTGGTTTCAATGCAAAAATAAGAGTACTATAGTTCGGCCGCTTAGAAAGCGACCTCCTCCAGCATTAGTTTAGCATTAGCGCGCAGGTCGTTTTCTAAGCGGCCGAACTATAGAATGTCATTAGAAAATAATCTACTAAGAACACTAAATCGGTAGGTATGTTTAACTAACAGCCCTTCATTTTTCTATTATTCCCTGCCGTACCATTCAAATTTAAATGTATACGCCTACAGTAAATTACATAGATATAAACATATTATTGTATACTTAGATGAAATTTATAAGAATAAGAAATATTTGAAAAATCTGAATTCTAAGCCATTTCTCTTTAAATGGTCCTCAAATTCAAGGGCTTGTTTTACGATTTTTTTTTTACAAACGACTCAGATGTGTCTATGGTATACATTGCCTAATATATGACAGTATAATATGTGAGGCTTACCCTCTATCTGAAAGTAAAAAGGTCTTTAGAAGGATATTACAGTAAGAAAATATATTTGGAAATCAAAAACCTTCATTTTGTAGTTTGGAATGTCCATTGCTGCCATCCCAATTTACATTGCTAAGTAGTCATTTTCTATTCCATGCATGAAATGCTTAAAAACAACTGTAAGCTAGTTTGTACTTTTCTGATGAATATCTTGTGTGACTACTACATTAAACATTAAGTTAAAATTCATGTAGATGTTGATATCAGGCCTAGTAAGTTTAAAGTTAGTCTTCAACAAACTTTCCAATAACTTTTTCACCTCTAGGTAAATTAGAATTTAAAATCTAGAATTTAAATCTAGGTATAAGTAGAATTTTAAAGCTTTGGATTCAAGGATGGGAATCAGAATAAATGCCAAAAATATATATTATACAGCAGGTCCTGAACTCCATCATATTGCCATCTTAGGCCTCTTTAAACTCTGAAAAAGCTTTTCTATCACCTTTTAAGTACAGTTTTCATAACCCTGTCACAACGGTTTTATTGAACCTAACAGTTTATCTACAAGTAACATTAATCAATATTACTACAAATATATTTATGTGAACAAAGTTCAATGTGGAAGCTCTAGATAGTTCTTGCATGTACACGTCCAATCCTTCGGTCGCAGCTATGTTGTATTCTACGTAGAAGTTCTCCCTTAGAGACGGATCATCGTCAATTCTGAGGTAAGGTCCGACCGAAGTGGTCATAGGAAGCCACGATCCCCTCATGTGTGATGATTTTGGATATCTGTGAACAAATTTAATAAGTTTGTAGTTTTGAGAACATATTCAAAACTTGTACCGCTACATTTGCATATACAATTTTACTTACCTCTCATAAAAACACAATTTATCCAAAATGCATAATTTAGAAGATAATAGAGTTAAAAGGAGTTAACGTGGTGAAAATAATTACAGTACAGGTATTTTCTCAACAGTTCACTTGGAGAGGCCCATTGAACTATGTTTTCTTCGATTAAAGAACTGTCTGTGGCTGGTGGAGATGGGATGTCTAACTTATTATAATTCAAAGGCAATAGTATTGTAATTATCAATTAACACGGAAACACAATAATATTTGGAACTAAATTAATTAGTGGGGCACTAAATAATCATACTTTACCCTTAAAATCACTGTAATTTTATAAATAAACACTGTTTATTCCAATTTCTCTAATTTTTATCTTGATGTGGAATTCGGTAGTATTTTATTCTGTATGTAGCACGACAGCTCAGCAGTAATATTGATTTGAGTTAGTTTTCAATGAGAGTGAAACACTGAAATGAAGTAAACTTTGTGTAGATATTCTTTAGTACCAAAGTTACTTGTTTTAGCTAATTAAAATACAATATTCTTGGTAGAAGTGTGTTTAGTGCTTAAATCAAATGTAAATGTTTCTGGTTTAGTCCCGGGCGGCATGGGCGTCCATCCATATGGGCCAGAATGGGCTCGAGCCCCCCCTTTGAGAACCTACCAGGCTGACCATACAGACTGATAATCCTGGGAGGTTTGCGTAAATTTATTAAATCAGGAACTATGCGGAAATTTTGAACTGAACTGGGAAAACCAGTTTAAGTCTGCGAACGTCATCTGTGGTCATGGCGAAATCATCAACACCTTCCGAGGTCACGGCAAAACTAAGAACATATTCCGCGACCATGACAAGATCGAGAACATCTTCCATCATCACAGTGAAATCATGAACATGATCCGCAATCTCAGTGAAGCCATAAATACGTATTGCGATCTCGACAAAGCCCTAAACATCTTCCACTATCTTGGCAAAGCCATAAATGTCTTTTTCGGTTACGTTAAAATCAAGAACATATTCTACGGTCACAGCAAATCGAGAACATTGTCTGCGATCATGGTGAAATCGTAAAAATCTTCTGCAGTCATGGCAAAATCATTAAAGTCTTCCACAGTAACGGCAAATCGAGAACATCATCTGTGGTCTTGGCAAAATCATCCACATCTTTGGAGGTAAAAAAATCTTGGACATCATCGTCTCCCACGATCGCGGTTAAATCGTCACACATTTTCATCGCTCTCCGCGGTCGCAGAAATTCACACTCGATTTGGCTCGACTCGATCCAAGCTTGGTCAGACAAACATTTTCTGTCCGTATAGATCCCTCGTCCCAACCGTTCGTCCGACCGAACCCAAAAATATGGAGTACCCTCAGATTCATAGTATAAGGTACACTTGGGGAATAGGAATCACAGTCAAAAAGTCAGGGTTTCTGCCGGTAAACCTGGAAAAATCAGTGAATTCTGTCTAGAAGTTCTGACCGAAATAATCAAAAGTTAAACAATTCACACTATGCCAGTAGCCACAGTAGTAAGCTGTAAAATTTTTAATTTAAAGCAACATAAGCTGACAAAGCAAATTTTTTAATAACATGTCAATTCAAACATTTTGATCTAAATTTAATTATTTTTCTGGAGTACCTCTAAGACCACCCTTTTTACTGGGGTTTATTCCATAGCCCATTCCCCAGCGACCCTATACAAAAGTCAGATGGACATCCATGCCTGGCGGGGCCGGTTGTGGAACCAAATGTAATTTGTCATTAGTTTATCAAATGATGATATTCATCTAAAGAAAGGTCAACCGTATAAGATAGTTACAAGACCAGGGGTTGGACTGTTCGCTTATAGCAATCTGGAAAAAACCTAAATAGTGTTGGTACACACAAAATATAAGTATAAATAAATCACCTTGTATAAATAAGAAACAAACACTTGACATGGAATAAATATCTAAATTACGAGTATTTTAAAGACATTACCCATCTGCAGCAAAGCTAGTCCACAGTTGTACGATCGTCTGAGCCACTTTTCTGTCAGTTCCAGTCAGGTTTCCGTCAGTGTTGGGGAATAAATAGAGTAGATCGTTTGAGTGAGCCACACCTATAGAGGCAGGCGATATTTTGAAATTAACTATCAAGTACCATTAGAACATAAAGCATAAATACTAACATTCGTGAACATTCATTTACAAAAACTGCTGTCTTATAAAACAATGATTCTTGCCACCAAGATTGTTAATGCTAGTATATGATAGATTACATGCCTTTTTATGTCCTTAGTTTTATGCATTTTATTCTAAAGATTAGGCTTGTTACTATATTCATAGAACCCATTGTCAAATTGAAAATCAAATTTATAGACACATTCGATCAATAAGCACACATGATGTTAACATAAAAAAAAACAGGGAAAAGATACACGCAAGGATGGTAACTCTCAAGTTTTAAGACGCAAACACAGGCTGCACAGTGAACATAAACCAAAATTTGTATGAAATGAAACTGTTAATTCTCAGGGTGCTAACACAATTTTGTGGCTACTTGCCATAGTAAACAAATCTGTAGTATTTTGGAATATGGAGTTCAAGTTACAACAATCAATCAGTAGACAATTATGAAGTTTTTTGTTGGAATGCGACTGGGCCCAGTTGAAATTTAACCGTATAAATGTTCTACAAACGCATCCACAACCAAGTAGTGTACCTCCTGGAAAGGGGTAGTGATGGGCCTCTTCTCCTTGTCCGAACTTGGTGTACTGTCCCTTGTAGTTGAAGGTATAGAGGAAGGTTGGTTCCAGATGAGCGTTGCGTCGAGCTTGCTGTAGAGTGCAAGCCTTCAATAGAGTCACTCCGCAGATCTGAAACAAGATTAGACAAACTTCCAGTCAGTATTCAATTTGTTATTCAATTCAAACTATACTGTATGAGTAGATAATATTTCTGACTATTCGACTATTTCAAATTTAGTAACTAAGGAACACATACAACTAGAATTAAGGTATTTAGATTAAAAGACGTGTATTTGTATATTTCTGAATAATATTGTATTTTTAATTAGAATTATTGCAGATGGTTACTAGTTTTTTTAACCTGTCAATGTAGCTTTTGTTGGTTCGTTGTCTTATTTTTTTGGCATTAAGTATATAATTGAGCTCCGTTATTACTGTAAAGATGACCATCAATAGCCAGTAATATTTAAACTTCTGAAAGCAGAAATAATAGAACATGAACTATTTAATTTTGTTCTTTAACAGTGCTCTTTTTAACAGCTAACACTGGTTGGATATTTTCTTTGATGGTACACAAACATGAATCTACTTACCTGATTGATGCTCAGTTGGATATTTAGGCTAAACATTATGAAAAGTGTTCTACACTTACATCAACTAAGCCTGGAACCATCGCTGTAAAGTTCCCTATCTCTTCTATCTTGAAGTACTTGTCTAAGAAAACGTCAGTGATTGCTCCAGTGGTGTCGTCGATCCCTATAAAAAAATTTAAGTTTTAGGAAAATGTATCTAGAAAACAGACTTGCCCTGCTTCAGTATCGTATGCAGTGCAGATAGAGCCAATCATGTAGCTATACTTGATCTGCAATTCTATTGAAATGTGGAAAAATTCAATTTGTTGGTGTAAACTTACATTTTGAGAAACTTTGTACCTTTGAAGTTGGTTATTTCATAGGTACTAGACTTCCCAAGTAATGTAAAAATTGGAAGCCAAGAAAATATATTAAGTTCAGCTATGTTTAGTCAATGGTTGGTTATTTCACTAGATTTAGGTATCAAAACATTTTGTACTTTCAATATTTTGTATTTACATACGGTATAACTTACAAGATTAATATAGTGACCAAAACTTCGATACTGTACGAACAAGCAGTATGTATGTGTGAGATATTGCTAATTTAAACTTTATTATTCTAGTCTGACTGCTTTCAAACATTTTTAGCTTTTACTCACTTACCACTAAACTGAAGAGTTGCTTTCAAGAAGTCGTTAATGAGATAATCTGTGTTATTTGTTGCATTGTTCCTTTCCAGGATGAAGTCATGTATATCTGAAACAAGACCTTTGGTCTAATAACAGGAGTTTTTAAGTATTCATAAATTTTATTCAAAATTATACTTTTTCTTAAAAAGTAAATTACAATTTTCTGTGTTATGTGCATTTTCTTTAATTCTTTTAGCAAATAAACTTTGTTTTTAATTTGGTTTTTGACTAATATATTTCAGTAGTTATTTCAACTCAAATAGTTTCTGTAGTATACGTTATGCCAAATAAGGAGACCATAAGCAAATAACAAATAATATTCTGTGGCGGGGCATCATCATTCCCTTCTTGTTTTTATGGAATAATAACTCTTAGATTTTTTTATACAGCTAAGTCCTTTGGCATTTTGCTGGGAAGCTGACTGGATATTATAGTGCTTGCCTGGTAATAATGTCCCTAGATTGATCATGAGTAATGTAATGCAATAGCATTTTTGTATTAAAAATTGAACCCAGCTGTTGATCATTGGGATGGAATGGTCCTGGAAATTGAACCAGCTGGTCTTAGTCAGTAAACAAAGCTGTTCTTATAACTTTGCTGTGTTGGGTTTATATAAAATCTAATCTAATCTAGATTATAAACTCACTTCCAAGGAAAAAGCTGCCCTCATGTTTTGTCACACCGACCATCATTGGCACCTTGACAAAGCGGCCATCTTGGAAACTGACTCTTGGATCTTCCACCAAGAAACTGGTTTTCCCCGGTTTTTCCACCACTGCGTGGTTTCCCCCATTGTTTCCCCTCACTGCTCTGCCTTCGTTGATCAGAACCTCTGTCTAACAGAAAGTTTAATATTTTGTAAAATTGTCTTGATTTTTAAAATATAAACAACGCATTTACTATAAAGCTAAGATAAGTTTATAGAGGAGATTCAACATAAGGTTTACATGATGGTGCAGTCTTTTTATTTTGTATTTTTATTTTTGTACTGTGACTGGAACATAAAAATTAAAATACAGAGATAACTTTGTTGAAAGATTATTGATCTCTGTTTTGATGTAAAACAAACCAAGTACATAGACCCAGCTCTTTACTTAGACTAGCTTTTGTAAAACTTGTCATCAACCCCTGAGTCTAAAATTCAGTCATACAGTAAGCCTATGGGTACCTATTGGGATACCACATCAATTGTTTAAATCCGGTTTATTAGATTTTCAATGCAACTAAATAAAATCTCAACTCGGAGTTACTGACTTATCCAGTTTCTTGTGACCCTACTTTATTTTTCATTTCCTCTAGTTAGGGGTGCACAGAAGGGAGGTTGATGCTCTTGCGCCACAGGGATTTGTTTTGGGGGAGGGGGAAGTTTGTAGGAGATTATAGGGGGTTTTCATTTTACATATTGTCGAGAGACATGGTGCTGTCTTTGCGACCTTGGAGTGATGTCCAAATTGATAGTCTGTAAACAGAGTATTGTTTTTTGTTCATACGCTACTTTTTCCCAAAACTTTTGATAAAGATAATTTTACGATAGGTTTCTGGGTTATCTATAGAATTTTTTTTTGAAAAGTGGTTTCAGTTTAGCATTTTTTTTATATGCATATGGAAAAATCCCTCTATCAAAACATTTATTTGAAATCAAACAAAAGTGGCTCATCTATAAAGTTTATTACATTTTTTATTATTCAATCTAAAACTCCATCTCAACCTACTGATTATTTATCCTTTAACTTTTTAAGGTAGGTAGTCTTTTTTCTGATACAAATACATGTCTGAATTTAAACTTTATTCTTTGATTAATATCATAAAATGTATCACTAACTTTTATCAATGAATACAAAACCTAAGGGTTTGTATTCATTGCTCGGATGCAGTATCCAAACAGTAGTTAATTAATGTCCTTGGAAGTGTTTGCAAACTTTTCGTTGAGAAAGTTAGAAATAGCCTGACCATGAGTTATCAGCTTATCTCTGGCACACAACTCAGGGAAGTCCATATCTTTAGACCTCAAGACACAGTTCAGATTGACAACAGTCCACACTGCTTGGCTCCTTGTTTTTTAGATGTGGTTTTTACCTTACAGCTAAACATGTTCTGGGCTCTATCAAAATCAGTTTTAAATATTTTTCTGTAATTTTTGTAATACTTTTGAAAATTCACATCCTTATTAGTCTTAGCAATTACACTTGATTCTCTTTTTCACGTTACCTTCATCCAGCATCTACTTTTATTCTTGGGCAACTTACTGGAAAATGCGACGATGAGGGTATTTTATAATATCTTCTGACTTTCTACTTTTTTATGCAGCTGATATTTGAAAGACCTATAACAAGACCTATGGTCTGAAACACCTAATTAAATATACATTATTTTAGATGTTTAATTTTGCTAGAAAATCACTAGATAAAATGCTATTAATACAATTTGTGACTGTATTTTGAGTAATTCTAGTTGGAGAGCAAAAATTTTAATTACAATTATACATACCATTAAACTCAAAATCTGCTGTGGTTTTAATTAGGAATAATATTACAACTTAGTCAAAAGTAACTATATTTATGAAAATTATATAATTATTTGTATAAGGGGCTCTGTAAATTGAAAATGCAATAGCATTCAAAGGGTAAATAAATACTGCAAACTACCACTCCGGTGGGATATCAAGATATTTCCGCCAACACGAGAGACGATAGTGATGTCTCCGCGACCACAAAGGGATATCAAAATATTGCCGTAATTCCGAGAGATGATGGTGATACCTTCGCGACTGTGAAGGGATGTCAAGTGATATTGCCACGATCACAAGAGGATGTGATGATTTCTTTGCAACCGCGGGAAATGACAAGACATTGCCACGGTCACAGATTATTACCATGACGACTTCATGATGCAGACAGACAAAAAACTGCATTTTTGAAGAGGGCGTTGGGAGGAAAATAGTTCTATTTTCTTCATTCCTGTAGCAGCTATCTGGTCTAGCGTTTGTCCATTGAGGCTAATTAATTTTTTTTTTTGGGTTGGGTTAAGAGACCGCCCAAATGTTCTAAAATGATGGTCATTACATCATTTCAAAACTACCTAACTATCAATCATCTTATTTTATCATCCTTAAAATATTTGTTTTGGAAAATGAATATTCCTAATAAACATTCTGTAATGACAGTTACCTGGTGTTTTGGTTCTTTTTTTTTACTTTAGAAAATCCCTTAAATGAATGTTGGTTTTGATGTGAGAAGGGGACGGGAAGCCGGTTTTTTTTTTTTTTTTTTTTGTAGGGGTTAAAGCAAGGGGCAGTATGAAATGGAGGGAGGGGGCTTTGTGCCCCTGACCATGGGGGTATGGGCACCTCTGCCTCCAGTATTGATTTTTGACCGTGTAAAATGGGTTTATGTACTTAACGTCATCAATCCTAATTTAGTCTCAGCTGACTTCAAACAAAATATGCTCCTCGTGTAAGAAAAAGTTATCAAAAGCAAAATGGATTGAAAAACGGCAGGAAACTGAATCTTTGTCAGCAACAAGATTGGTAAACAACAACCTAAGGTTTTACAATACTGTTGGAAATGTTGACGCTTTAAACACTAATCTGAAACAAATGTGAGAACGAAATTCAATCTAAAACTGACCAGAAAGTCAGAATGAGCCATCAGCAGCTGGTAGACAGACTGGTTCCTCAGACATTCCACCATCTCCTGATGAGTTTTCCGGTCACACCTGGACATCCTAGAGATGGTCTCTGCATGTTCCACAGGACTGAAGTCTACTGCCCAGTCGCACAAGGCGGAGCCACTTTGAACGATCACTCGCTGGAACAGGCCTTCATAAACCACCGGCCATTACTTACAACAAACAACCGTTGGATAACTTACAATTAATAAATATTGAAGTATGTAACATGAGCACAAGCACCTAGGTTTCTACAATATTTTGTGAGAATAGCAGGCTTACTTGAATGGCTTAGATAAATTCACGTATACCAGATAATGATAAATTCACTGTAGTTATAATTTCAAATTGTTTTTAAAAGTCTCACACTCAAGTGTAAGACAATAAGGATTATCTGATAACTGATACTGAGTTTACTATGTTTACTATTACTGACCAAACCGACAGTTGATATCCATTCATAGCTCTTAATAAATTACCTTGACCAAAGAACCAAATGAACTTAATAAGTAACAAAGCCATCACTGATCGTCTCATTCATTCAACACAGCCTGTGATTCACTATTTGTCACCTTAAAATACACACCCTCTTATGTTTCCTTTGTAAAAATCTTATCTAATTTTATTTCTACTTTGTTCTCCTATAATTGATACAGAAAAGTTCTCAAAAAGAAATTTAGCAGAGAAAGGTAGGAGGATTGAAGGAGAAAAATGTAGGGTGGGAGGTGTCTTTGATAGTTGGTTTTGGAGTGCTTAATATCAACATCTTCAAGTTTAGTTTTTATGAAAATATCCATTTAGCGTCCCCTTAAAAAAAATGTTTTTTTAAGTGATGTCTCTGTGGGTGTTTGTATACGTGTGCGCGTGTGTGTTTGTGGACCCATAGGCCTACAGATCTACAACTACACCTTTGGTCCAATTTTGATGAAATTTTAAATGTACCAATCATATATAAGCAGAGGAAACAGATATGTTTATACACACCAGGAGTCACTAAAGGACTGGCCATGAGTAGTGTGACGCCAGCAGCTCCGGAACTCTGTCCGAAGATGGTGACTTGACGAGGATTCCCGCAGAACTGATTCACATAACGGTTGGTCCAGTGAAGAGCCATCAGCTGATCATGCAGACCCATGTTTCCAGGGGCTTCCTCGGTTCCAAACGACAGAAAACCTACGAGAAATACAAATACGTTAATAAATTTACAAGCAAGTTAAAAGTCTCAGGTAAATTAAAACTTGAATCAACAATAAAAATTGTACATTTTAAAACTCTATTTTTGATTTGCTTTTAACATTTTTTAATCATTTTGGGCATCATTAAGTAATGCCAGTCAAACCCCTATCCACTCAGACACACTTATCATTGAGCCAGGTTAAGTGTAAGAAAAGTGTAAAAAGAAAAGACATATTTCTTTGCCTGAATAAATAAAGATTTTTTCATTTCATTTCATCCAATGAAGGTACTTTCTGACTATGGGATGCTGTGTAAATATAGTATTAATATCGCCGGCTTTGGTTTATTTTGTAATAAAAAATAATATTCACATAAAATACTCAGTTTACTTAATGGTTTTTAACTACAGTTAATTTAGTCCATCTAATGATTGTTTTTGTTAGTGATGTAATTATATTACTTCAAGTCCAAGAAAATGAATGCAAGTGAGTCAAACACACATTGTATTGAAGGGAGCTCGTTACACCTGGCAAAAGTGTTGAAAGATAAGTCAAGTCAGTGTTTTAAATGTCCTTTTCAACTCTGTTAACATATAACATGCCTCGTTTTCATTTTCTGACAAACTTTGTTTTAATTTCTAGAGTGTGTTTTTACTTTTTCATGATTTTTAATCAAACCAAAATTTGTGTTTATTTGATTGATTTAATTTATTTAACCACAGTACTAGTACAGTAGTATGTTCTTCGAACATTTTTTGGTGACTATATGGATTCTCACAAAATGAACTATGTAGCCTATGTTTGATGAATATGTGTATTAGTATGATGGTCACATACTAAATTGTAAACTAAAACTACTAACTACACCAATGCAAATGATAAATAAAAGACACAAGTACTAACCCCAGGAAATATTGATTATGGAATATTCTTTTACAAAAGATTAACAAGGGGAAACTATCTACTGTATGTTTAATTTCATTTTAATTCATCTAAGCCTTATAAACAACCTTCATTCATTCATTTCAAATTCATCTGTTCAAATGTTAAAGTTAGTCTGTAATTTATTAACAAACAATTTGATTACTAGGTCACATACCTAAAGGTCCCAGGCGATATTGAATCACAACTAGGACTATGTCTTCCTCCAGAAAGAAATCAGGAAGGAAATCTCTGGCAGACCCAACTCGGAAACTTCCTCCGTGGATGTAGAACATGACAGGCAAGTACGTGCTGCAAGTATTGTTGAGAGGAACCTGGAGTAAGGTAAAGATGAATAGGTAAATTAGATTCAAGTAAATAATTTATTTGCATATCAAAACACATGGAAAATAAAATAACCCTAATGTAGAAAACCTGCAGACTAAGCAAAGTACCGGTACGTTTTTTTTTTTTTTTTTGCTACTAGCAGCTAGCGTCACTTTGTGACTACAAAATTTATGATATATTTGAATTAATTTACAATTTTCTACTGTTCTCTTCGAGGCATCTTAGGAAAATTACAAAATACTAATGAAACATACCATGAAAACACAAGATCTAACGTAAGTGATTTTTTCTTTACATTTTATACAAATAGCATTACAATATTTTACTTGAATTCACTAAAACATCACCAACTGTAACAATAACACCATTTTCGTATGGTTGTAAACAAAATTTTATCATGGCCATCTGTTTTGATGTAAACAAATGTACATTTTAAAAGTTCAGATTATTGACAATAGAATTCAGCACAAACTCTGAAATTGTAAACGCCTATAGAATGAAGGGCTTTTATAGGATATCATCCAAACCCGCAAAAGGCACATCTAGAGGATAAGAGCTTTAAATTGATACCCAATATGCCAATAAAAATAAATATTTAGGGGTCGAGTTGCTGAATAAAAATATTCAACAAATTCTTTTAATAATATAGATAGATAAGTTTATCGAGTTTATTCAATTAAAACCCTAGTTAAACATCCCTTGGTAGATTTGTCATCCTAGTCTGATGCCTACAGGAGCATGTTTTTGTAACATTTTTTCCGTTATTTTAATACCATATTTGAACTAAACAAACAGATACCGTAATTAGAAACAGTAGCTAATTCTCATTTGTCATAGCCAAAATGTAAAGTACAAATCATAAAATTAATCCTAAAATAAAAGAAACTAAATTTGGTTGGCACAGTCACCAAACATGAACAGGCATAAAGAACAAGCTTTATAGAATGAGAAATCTGCTTGTGTCAGTCTGTGGTTCAAACAAACTCACAAAAGAAATACCGTAAAACTTTAGATAAGCAACTTCCAGCAGTTCCTCCCTAAGGATGGGTACATCAGTGAGCTTAGCTAGGTTATCTGTAATAATTTAGAGGCCACGTACTCATAGTAGATACACAATTTTTTTCCTAGGACGCTAGGCACGAGCCCTGGATTGTTTTTCACATTACACCCAGGATAGACCTATGGGTTTCGGCATTATCACTTAGATGAAATCCATTGATGATTCGGCGGGATTTCAACCCAGGACCTCTGGGCCCGCGCTCTAACCACTAGACCAGCTGGCTCCCTGATAGATAAACAATAAAAATACATAAAACCAAACACTGATATTGTGTAATCAGCACCTGAATTTAATTTCCTCAGGTAAGCCAGCTAATCTTAATCCATATTCAAAATATACTAATGATCCACTAAATTTTCTTTTAAAACATTTACCTGAGGCGTGTAAATATTCAAATGCAAACAGTCCTCGACGTCTTCATTCCTCTCGATTCTCTGCTGCAGTTCTAGCAGTTCCTTCTCATTGTTGGCTTGAGGGCATTTGTTCCTGAACACAGTAGCATTCAGGACACCACTCCAGCCTCCTGATGGGATCGGTAGCTGAAACCAGATAAAATCAGAGTTTAATTGGTCTAATTGATATAATTGAGCCTCTCTGTTTCATGGTAGAGTTGTCAAAATTATATTGGAAACTTTCTATCTCTATTTTTATTTAAAAGACCATTTTGGTTGAAAGAGAAAAAAGCTGATTTTTTACAGTACTAGTTTTGAAGAAGATTTGCGAACCTAATATATCGCTAATCTATGCAAAACCACAATGAAACTGCTGCAAAATAGTTTTCTGATTTAGAATTAATTTATTTTCAACCTGATTTTCTGAAGCATAAAGCATGGTAAGGTGAGGGATAAAATTAACTTGACAATAGTAAGATAGATAAAATAGTAAACCAAAATAAGTTTTGTTGTATCATAGACTAAGCTAAGGGAGTATGTTTTATCTATGGTATCTTCTTTATTTCTTTACTTAGATACTGTAATGTTACAAATCATGTGTTTTCATCCAGTTTATTAATTTATTAGTTCGTACACAAACCAAACATGTCAATTATCAACATCATATGTGTATAGTTTGTAAACAATAACCACTTCCATCCAACAAAATATTTTGAAGAAACCGTTATGTAATTACAAATTTTTGTTTTTTAAACCTAAGGATATGGTTGTACTATTGGCTGTAGTGTTGTTAAGTGTAGTACAGTGTGTGCGGGGTGCTTCACAATGTGTGGAGATTGTGGATGCAGGTTTGCTTCCGCTTGTCAAAGGTCACATTGGAATCCACTTCTTCGTAACTGTGGTTAACAAGGGGACTGAAGCGGCAGAGGTGTGTACCAAAGAATACTTTTTGAATGCTTCTTATTATGTGATTGCTTTTACAGGTATTATATTTAAAGCTTGGTGAACCGTTGATGTTAAAACACCGGAGTGGAAATCCCATCTAGATGGACCAGCAATGCTGTAGCCAATTTTTTTCAAATATAACATAAATGAGTGAGATACTCTGCATGATAACTTTTATGATACAAAGGATGCTAATGTTTTCAATATGCTGACCTTATCAGTTTTGCTTATTATGGGAGATAAATCAGTAATAGACATCAAACTCCTATAAAGGAGACTCAGTAGGACAATTTTCTTTTTACCCTAAAACTGACTATATGGGAATGGATGGGTGTTAAAATACGTACACAATCGCTTTTGGTTTTAGATCTATTTGATTTGCTTTTATGTACGGTTTACACTTAACTACGGAATCGTCAGACATGGTTACTGTAACATGGGCTAACCTCATGGCTCCCCTAAGTTCAATCAGAATTATTTTAGAAACATACCATAGGAGTCAAACTCAAACACTCTCTTTAGAACAGACCATTTGACATACATAGTCTGAACTAAAAAACAAAATTGCAAAGAAAAAAATGCAAATAGCAGCATGGAAAGTGCTATAATATTACTTATGAGTTAAGATGAACATTCAACTTCAATTTGAATAAAAAAACGTTACCTTAAATATAGGTACACAAAAGCTAAAGAACCTTGGACTCCAGCGCCTTTGGGATTCTTGTCTAAAACACCCCACACTACCACATCTCACAAACAATGAATACACTGACCTTCTTAAATGTATTACAAACTTTTGGTGGTAAGCAAGACAATTAATGATTAAAACAACACTTTCCGCCTTCATAAAAACCTCCCCAAAAAATTTTTCTTTACAATTTAACCCCAAATATTACATTACTAAGGCACTTTCCTAACTTCTCCTTCAGGATTTTTAATTGCAAGTTTATACATGCAGGTGCAGGTTTAAGTTATAGAAATTAATTTTACCCTTAAAAAATTGCATTATTAAAACAGTAAGAAGTTGAAAGATCCCTTGTGGACTTAAAACATCAGTTAACAAACATGGTTTCAGGTACAAGTGAGCATGGTCCAGTGCTGTGAGGACTTCCCAGGAGGACAAACTGACTGTACCAACATCCACCTCATCCCAGAGACAAGAATAGTAGAGCCTAACGTGGACCAGAACTTCACTCTCATTCACCCGACACTCTACCCTTACAACAGACGAGGAGAATGTCTACTGGGAGTGCATTACATGTCGTCATGTAACCGGTCAAAGGAGGCGCTACAACACATAGCCTTCGACACGGCTCTCAGCGAACAAAACGTCAAGTAAGATCAATTGGCTATCAATACGATCAATAGTTGCGTAGTTTTAATTATTTTGTTTTGGCACAGTGTTGTATTAAGAGTTTTGCCATTGCTATTTGCAATGAAAGAAACACGGTAAATGAAACATCAGATAAATACCTTTTACTTTGACGGATTTTTTAGATGAAAGATAAATTAATTTGTCATTCCGCTTTAAAAGTCTTCATCACCCATGGGGTGGTTACGTTTTGGTCATAGGTTTATCTGTCTTTATGTACAACTAGCTGTAACCCGCAGGCTTTGCCCCGTTTAACTTCTTAATTTTCAAGATGATCTCGTTCGCATGGCTCAATCACGTCCTGGTTGCAAATTAGCTGTTGTCATAAATGTAAAAGAAATAATAGTGCTGCACCCTGTTGGTAATCCTTGTAACTTTAATGCTATTGAACATCATAGAACAGAACCAACTTGTTTAATTGAAACAGCTGTTAAGATTCATTAATTCCATTTCTCATAAGGTTAACATGGGAAACTCCAGAGCCACTGAGGCGGAGCCCAGAGGTCGGAGGGTAAAATCCTTTCTTAGTGAGTGTCTACTACCCAAAAGGAAGATGCCTGCCAAGTTTCAGGTTCCTAGGTCTTATGGTTTCTGAGATTTCGTGATGAGTGAGTGAGTGAGTGAATGAATGAGTCAGTGGTATTTGAAAAACCCAGAGAACAAGATCTTCAGCAACAGTTTTTTTTTTCTTTAATAGAGAGTAGTTAAAATTATAATTTGACACTACTAAGAAATAGCTGTGATTAAAACCACATTTTTGTAGCTACAGAACTATTATTTGGACTGTATCAGGTCATCATAACAAAACAATTGTGAAGTGTATCTTTATTACATGCTTTGTGCTGACAATATTTTCTAGGATTTCACTAAACAATCTAATTAGAACCTTTTACAAACACTTTACACACTAAATGATCACACATTACAGGGAAATAAGAAATTACCGGGTTATAATCATCTGCTCTTGGCGATAGCAGGAGGAGGTATATCTTTTAAGGTGTTACTAAAAAAATTGAGTCATGTATATGTTGGCTAATCATAAATAAAATTTGTATAACATCTTCAAAAATATGTTTTACCCAGCACGCTTAGTAAAACTATATTTAATTCACACATCAAACTATGAAGAATGAACACCAGAATTGTATTTTTGTAGATGCAGCATGGTCAGAGGCTTCCCAGGCTACATTGTAGAACGTCCACCCTGCAACTCCTATGACGAAGACGCTCTGAACAACTGCAAAATGGTTGACTGTCACATGAAGTACTTCGGGCTGCGGAGTTTCTTCAACAAAGCATCCAGAGTTTGTGAGCCTGTCCCAGCGTGTCTGCCTAGCAAAAGACGAGGCATGCCAGACGTTGTGTACGATGTGGCCAGCAACCAATGTACTGACATGAACAGCTGTTTGGATGAAGAGGATCTTCAGCATCTGGCTCACGCTGATCTAGAACCGGACTGCTTCCCTTACTCCAACAGTAGGATGGCGTATCTGGATTGTCATCGTGGGGCACTCAGCAATGTTTCTGGTTGGTGATGTTTTGACAATGTTAAACGACAAGTTTGAGGATATTTCATATTATTAACACTTTGAGTGTAGATGACGGGAATTCTTCATCTTCTTCACCATTGCTTAACATTGAAAAAAACAAAATTTTCATGTTTAGACATGTCGACCGCACTAATAATGTTAATTAGTATACACACATTCTGATGGACTTTGTTTATCGCGTGTCTAGGTACGGTAGCGCTTTTGCAAGAATATGTTTTCTTTTGTGTACTTCCTTCTGAGGTTGTCTCTTGTATGATAATGTCAATCAAGAGTATTATAATGTGATTAAGTAACCGAATGTACCCATGTTTTGTCACAAAATTCTGTTTTAATGAAACCTGACACTTCAAATCATCGCAGTTTACTTTAAACTCCAAGGGACACTCAATGATAGTGTGCTTCAAATTCAAACGCACTTCCTATGTTATACTTTGGGCTAGGAAAATAATATTTTCAAAAGACAAAACCTTTGAGTAGTCTTGAAGGCTTGTTGCACCTTTGTTGAAATGATATACTAACCATTTTGGAAAAAAAATTCTTGGCTTACGAATACATTCAGAGAAAAAGTATGGACGATATAGAAATTACAAAACCTTTTTAAACTTTGCCCCTTCAAGGAATCTTCTTTAAAAGAATTTTAAAATGGCACAAACTTACTCTTGTCTTAAGTTAGTTGTGTGGCAGTACCTTCTGCTTTGATGTAAAAAATTTAGAGATTTAGAATCGATTTGTAATTGTCCGATGTTTTGTCAGGAGAATGTGAGTGTGAGCCAGAATTCCAGTCGGCAGAGATGCCAGACGAGCCAGGTAATCCTCGGACCCAGATCTTCCATTCCTGCAACATCGACACGTCCTGCTGGGCGCTCTCTCGTCTCCTCTCACCGCCTGACACTCAAATGATGGTCATCGCTTTTATTCTCGCACTGGTTGTGGCAATCATGTCCTTGGTTATAGTTCATCCTTACTGACGAAACCAGTAACTTTGCTTCCCTTACAACAATCCTTGGCCAATTCATAATGGTTTTAGTGCCATTGCAGACTTTGTCTTTTCAGTTCCAATTTTATAGTGAGTTTTATTTTGGTTTGACTCATATTTGCTGATAAATTTGTGCATACATGAGCTCTGACCATGAATTTCAATATTAACAAACACTATTTGAAACTGTAGTTTCCAATCATAATCTTATGTTAAAGATTTCTGAATTTGGAAACATTCATATAATTTTTATATTATCGTGGAGAAGGTTTCAATACTTTATGTGTAAATTGGCATAAATTACTCATTTTGATGGTGTAAATACAGTAATTGCTTTATCTTTTTTTGTAGTTAGCATTTTTATGCTTACTGTAAGGTAACAGTCAAAATCCTAGTTCATCATTGACTTTAGCAGCTTCAAGAGACATCCTATCCAAGAGGACCTTCAATTACTAGATTTTAACTCAAAGAAAACAAAGCTACCATTTAACCGTTTAACAGGCTTTTCTTGAAATTATTCAATGCAGAATATATGTAGAATGTAGAATGTAGAATGTTTATTAAATAAATAATCTTAGCATGTAAAATGAGGACTATTTATGTGTAATAGTTCAATACTTCATAATTTAGTGTTTGTTCTATTAATGGGAAGCTACAACCGTTGATGTATTAAACTAATATGTTAGTTTTATACATCGATGGCTACAACCAATACAAAAATCAAGAAATATGTATATAGTACTTATTTCTCAGTTTACTTCCAAAATAATATTCATTTCGATTTGCTATTATAAAACAAACCTGTTGACTAATTTTGATTAATAATAGTAACCAATAACTATCAAGTTTATTGAAGAGCTAATTACTCTGTCAAGTTCATCGTAGATAAGCTGCAAGGCATACTGATGTGTCTAAGGAATATGTCGGCCTTCGTCACTTACAAGTCTAAAAAATCGCGCCACTCCTCCATTCATACTTGGCTTAAAATGCCTACTTTGTATGGTTCCCATTTCAATGAAAAGTATTAAAGTATGTATTCAACCATTTAATCTATTTTGAAGAAAGTTTGATGCACTTTGCCAAACCAACAAAAAATGCAAGTTCAATTAATGAAGTCTTTTGACATTAATGAGTCTAAATATTGCATCAACAAATAACTATTGTAGGAAAACACAGTGTAACACGAATAATAAACATAAATGAATTAGAATAATATATTTTTATGATATTTTTTACCAGAACTGTTTTCTTACTATAAGTAAGGGTAACAAGCAGTTTTGCTGTGGTTTAATGTCATATTTACACTATAATGAGTAGTTATGTAAAAAATTTGTATTAATTACGATCCAAGTATATAGGAAAGGCTCCACATTTTATTGCTTCTACAAGATACTTGTTAGCCGAGTTACTTAAAAGTTCAAGTACATGAAGGATTAGTTTCTATAAATTTAATCACACATTCACTAAGGCAATAGCAAGAACAACAACAAGAAGTGGATTGTAAGTAACACACCATTGTTTTGTATGCTGAAGGTTTCTGCAGCATTCAACAGAAGGTGTCTTTTTACTGCCTCACCGTAAACTCACACTTGCCCAAATATTTAACACAACTCGTGTTGTGGGAAATGTGGTTATACAGGTAGAAGTGCACCACTTTTACAGTTGGTTTAAAAAAAAAAAAAAATGCCAATTAGGTGTTATCCTATCACATTACAGTTTAATCCTAACATTTAAAAGAAATAGCTATAGCTTACACTTATCACTAAACTGCAAATAGACGTTTAACCTAAAAACAAGCTCAAGGAAATTACATGTCAATACATGTTGAATCTAATGTCAAAGGTTGATGTCGTTAAAAGGCCAGGTTTTGATATGTTTCCCAACAAAGGTTATTAAATACAATTGGTTTTGTAAAAAGAGATAAAAATAGTCCTAACCCCACCATACTATACCATAATTCCAGATTACCACAATACAGCGGTTTATAACATACCTAATGTTAGTTAATGTTCATTTTAAAACGTTGATAGAGGGAGTTAAAGTAACCATTTGAAGCCTAGTCGTTTACTTTGTCATTCAAACGGACATTAGGACAGTTAGTTGCATACGTGTAGGTGAAGAGATAGGAAGGAAAGAGACATATTTAGAGACAGAAAGATCAGCTTGGTGATGTATGCTTGCTCACGTTACTAGCCTTATCTACATAATAATAGTTACAATGTAGTCTTTGACCTCAGGGGCAAAAGAACACCAGAGGATGCCTCGTGTGTAGACTCAGAGATAAAACATGACACCTAGGAAAGTTTGGTGACTAAAAGGATTTTTAATAGAAAAATGGTTAATTTTGTAACTAAGTTGAGGCTTCCCTGTAAAAAGTATTAATTAGGTATTCTAAGCTATAACTACTAGACCGGTAGTTTTCTAAAATATAATTTAACATCCTAGCTACCTACAATGTTGATTCGGTTTTATAATTTGCTTCTATAACAAATATTTTCACTGCCACGATTTGTTCTAACACAAAATTTATCATTCCCTTATATCCAAATAAAATAGATCATTGAAAAGTGGGTGTGAATATAAAGGACCTCTTTGACTCCACATATACATCTTAAGTATTGACATAGTATGTTTTATCTACGGTATTGACATTTCGTTGATGTAACGATTTTCTGTGTCTGAATAAATTATATTGTTAAATAAGATCAATACTAGGGATAAACCGTAGAAATCGACTGTTACTGTTGAGGTTTCAGGCAAAATCGATGATAAATTCTTGCTATTTTCGCGTTGTTCGTGATTCAGCAGCGTGCTTTAGGTATTTTTTTATATTTTAACCTTAGAAAACAGTGGTATTGAGTTAACGAAATGAGGGTGTCGAGATGAAATATTAAAACAAACGCAGCATGAAGATGTAACTAGTTGATCCTAGGTCAGCAGTAGCAGTACTAGAGTACTAGAGTGAGATGTTGGGGAGAGTGTTGGGACGGAGGGAATGTTATTGCTCTTGTTTGTACTGATTGAACTTGTCCGTCATTGAATATACACGCGTCTTGACCTCTGTTTCTCTTGGCCCATACACCAGGAACAAACTACAACAATACTGTAACTCTTTATAGGTCTACTTTGGTTTGAATTTATACACTATGAAGTCAAATCCACGAGAATACATTATTTATTATGAAATGTTGGTTTTGCACAAACTGAAACAGTTTAATCTTTGTTTTTAATACCTGGCAAGCACAAGTATACATTCTCAAAATGAGGCGTAATAATTTCAGTATATTTTTTTACATGACAACATTTTTATGTTGTGTATGCCTAGAATTATTTATTTTACGTTATTCTAGGGGAAAGGTCCAATGCCTGTTCTTGTTGCTATCTTAAAAGAGAACCTTTTTGTTAGATAGCTCAGTAATGGCCAGATTAAAAATGGTAATTTTGTCTTTGTCTGGAAACGATCTCGCATAGAACCAACGACCTTCGGATTTGAAGGCGAGAACTAAATGCTCTCGGCTGTAGACTTTTGTTGTAAAAAAGTCCATTACTAATTTTTTTCTGTTCAGTGATTTACAGCACCTTTTTAGTAATCCTTACTCTATAAATAACTGTAGGCCTATTTGATCATGTACCTATTTGATCATATTTTATCGTACAAATCTGCTGTCGGTTAGTTTATAATGTTAGTGAATAATAGTTTTAAGGGATTAATTAAGAAGAAAGAAAGGGTCACAAACTCACCAAAATAGATAAGTTAATATTACTTTAAAGACGGAAACTCTAATTGACTAACATATAATAAGCTGCTAATGAATGCAAGATTACTGTAGGGGTAAAATCATCTGTAGCTTTGTTACTGACTAAATCAGCTGTTTATTTAGCCAGGGATATTTATGAAAAACCTATAGTTCAATGTCAGATGGGTCCTGTTGCAAACCATCAAAAAGTTTCTGTTTTGCTCAGGCTCTAACCGGTGACTCATAGATTAATACTGTTAATACTGTTCTATGAAATTGCGACCACAATTCATTTCCAAGCGAGGACAACTATAATCAGCTAACAACACATGTGCTCACGACTAGAAGAAAATATATCATAAAATCACATGTACAAGTAACCAGATTGTGGTTCAAAGAGTTTCCACATCGTTTACAATGTCAAATCAGTGTTTGTTGGTAGTGGCCAACATTCGTACACAGCAAAGCTGGTAAACAAACATTATAACAGTCTGTGGCTAACTGTTGAACAAACATACACGTTGAGGGGGGGGGGGGTGGTTTAGCTAAACATTTAAATCATTTTAGTGGTTTTCACGTCCATCAACAGCTTTAAACGGTTGTTTGTGTTGAATAGTACAATATTTCACTTTTTGTCCGAGCCGTGTAGAAATAAAAGTATGTATTTGATTAGTATGAAAGATCGCGCCACTCATCCTACACTCAGGCTCCTATCTCATACTACATTCATAATTGGATTAAAATACCTACTTTCGTTTGGTCACCATTTTAAAGAAAAGGTTTAACAAATAAAGTAAAGTAAATAACAAATCACAACTGAAATGCAAATGGCTAAATTCTCAGTAGATGCATTTCGATTAGTTTTCGTTGATTCTTTCAAATCTATCCCTGTGTAATTTACAGTTAACTATTTACTCACATATGCAATACTGACAAATGTGTAAACATATTACTGAATAACGTAAAGGTCAGACAAATTACGAATTAAATAATTTATTACAATTCAAACATTTTTAAACAAACTAATGAACGCGAAATAACGATCACATATTATAATATATGTGTATTTATTGGCTAGAGAATTATTTAGATAATAAGGAAAATATCATTGACTCGAAACCACTATAAAATGTAAGGAAAAGTATTATTTTTCCAATAGGGGTGCCTGTATTTTAATAAACGCATGAGTCATACAGCATTTCGATATATTTAAACTAAAATAAACAATTACTTGATTGAAACAATTGATATAAGGATAAGGACCAGAGTGCATTAGACAAAGTCGCATAAAAGATGTGTCAATTGGCAAAATGAATTTTTTTTTAAATTCAAAGTTCAGTTAACATTAAAATAGATATTAAAATTTAGCATGATTATGATGGATAAGTTAACGGAAAGCAGGAAACAACTTATTGTTACAACATTTGTTGGTATACAAAATACTAAGTATTCCTGTATGTGCCGGAAATAAAGTGTGAAGGGAAATACGAACAGATTTACGGCTAACTTGTCGCTGCGCTGGACCAGCCCTAATCTGACACTTGACCCTAATCCAATCTGGGACCAATTACGCGTCGCCCTGTGACCAATCTACAACTGAATACGTTAGCTTCTCTCTGACGTTTGCCAACCACACTGCGTACAAACATATGGCTATGTCCCATCCATACATCCTAGGCAATAGTCCGAACCGTTAACACATTACTTCACACTAGACCTAGAAAATCACGACATCATTTCATATCACG